CTGACAAGATTTGCTGATGGGTTGGAGGAGGGTGTGAGTAAAGGACAGGAGCCGAGGATGACTCCACAGGGTTTGACCTCAGTACCTGGACAGCTGCAGTTGTCCCTTAGCAAACTGGGAACCTGAGGAAGAACAGGTTGCTGGGGGGAAGGAGGGGAGTAGGGATATTGTTTGAACATATTAGGTTTGGTATGTCACTAATCATCTGAATACAGACATAAGGTGCCAATTGATAGAATGTGCCTTGCTTCCCTTAAAATAAATAGAATTGGGAGCATACTCCCATGTAGTCCAAAATCTTTTTGAATTAATGCAGATATCTTGTGGGTACACCATCACTTGGATGCGCATTATAACACTTACCCTACATCTTCACCTTTGCTTTATACCTCAATATCTATTTTCCAAAATAGGGAATATCACTAAGAGCAGAGCATCTTGGCCCTGTAACAGGGGGATGAGCATGACAAGGCATCTTTAAAGGCATTTTATAAGACATTATTTAAGCTCCTGAGACACTCCCTTCCTGACAGAAATCTCGCCCCCCCTCACTGCCCCGCCACCACCTTCCATGGAGTCTGAAATTCCTCCATTTTAAAAAACGTAATTATTCCCTATTAATGTGTTACTCTTACATTCTGGCATAACTGTGAGAATATTTATGTATACCATCTTTCAATGGAGACATTTTCTCATTCAGTTTGGCAAGAGTATAGGGTCCTTTTGCTAAAAATAATTAGAAAAAAGAAGGTGTGGCTTAGGAAGAGAAAGAAGGGATAACCCAAAAACAGTGGGTTTTCACGGTGCAGTGCTGGAGGTGGAGAATGGAGGGAGTCCACAGGTGCTAAGGGACCGGACACATCTGGGAGAGGGGGTCTGAATTCTCCTTCCCTATGCAGGTTCATCCAGGCCTTCTCATCACTTCTTCCCACAGCTGTATCCTGTGTAGCCTTCCCTCTGAACTCTGACTGCCTACTCGACACTTCCATTTGAACATCTCACTGACACATCATTTCAGTGTTCTGTTCTCTCTCTCAAAGGTGTTCTTCTCCCAAAGCCCCCTTGGCCTAGTTAACAGCATTGAGCATTGGCATTTAGCTCAAATCTTCCTTCCCCGGGAAGGCTTCCCTAACATCAAGGCCAGATGGAATTCCCCTGTTATACATCTTGCAGCCCCCATGCTCTCCCCTCATGGCACTTACTCTGTTCTTAATTATATATTAGTTGGGTCAGTATCTGTTTAATGTCAGGGTCCCCCACCAAACTCTAAGCCCCTTAGAGCAGATGCGCATCTCTTTTGCTCACTGCTATACACATCGCCGGATCCCAGCTCTTGGCTGGTGTACAAAGAACACTCAATTAACATTTGGTGAATAAATGAATGAAGGCTGTGTTGGGTGTACAGAGATGAAGGAGAAGGGTCACTGCTGAGGCAAAGTCTCTAAGGTACATTGCATCAACTCCAAAATGCTGGACTGAGTAAAGTTGACTAAGATGGATCGAAATTTCTTCTTTTATTTGCTTTGGGTTTTGTTCATCTCATCAAGCATTGCCATTATTCTGTACCTCCAGAACCACAGAGGACACTGAAGGGAGAAATCCATAACCCCAAATCCAAAATCAAAAAACTCAAGAAGTTACTGAACCCTTTGCTAGAGGAGCAGTCACAGAAAGGGGAGATTGCCCATGTCTATCTCATCTACAGGAGAGCAAAACTAATTGACAAATTCTTCACTAGAATCGTAGAGAAAGGAGATCTTTTAAAACTTGGTAGTAAGGAGGGATCTTAAAAAGAAAAAAAATGTAAACTCATAGAAACAGTAGAAAAGTGGCTGCCAGGGGCTGGGGGGTGGGGGAAACAGGGAGAAGTTGGAAAGGGATACAAACGTTGAGCTGTAAGATGAATAAGCTCTGAGGATCTAATGTATAACGTGGTTATAATGGTTGACAACACTGTATTGTCTAGTTGAAATTTGCTAGGAGAGTAGAATGTGAATGTTCTCTCACACACAAATAAAAGATAACTATGTGAGGTGATGGATGTGCTAATTAACTAGACGGGGGGGGAGGTCCCTTCACAACATGCTCATATATCAGATCATCCCAATGGACACTTCCGATATCTTAAATTTTATATGTTAATTGTACCTCAGTGAAGCTGAAACATAGAAGAAAAAAAAAAAAACTTTCTACCAGGCTAAGGCCAGCCTAAAGGCATAATTTAAGATGTACAGGATGTAATTGATTTTAACCTCCTAAGTGCTTTATTCGAACGAATGGAAAAAACAATCACACAACTGCAAGAGTTTTCATGGTCTCATCTGGTCTTCAGTCACTTTACTTTCTCCCCAACGACCCCTACCCCCATGTTAAGTTGCTCAACATCAAAACTGCCTGCCTTAGGGATTTATTTCAGCAATACAACCTCTGTGGTTAAAAAGGAAATTCAGGATTCCAGTAGTTCTTATGTGCTTCTGGCCCCTTACCCCACTGCCCATGGCACTAAAATGTAGCCACACCGTAGTCTTAAATATCAGTAAGACCTTTATCCACAGGGTTCGTTTAACATCCAGAACAATTTCAACTAAAAGATCTAGACCTAATCCACCAGCTTGGATGCAGAAAACAGAAGCGAGGATGACTACAGGAAATATAGGGAAGATTATTAACAATCAACAGTATTTTCCACTTTAAAAAAAAATCTCATATTTCAAGTATCACATCCAATTTGTTTTAGGCAAGATCTAGCTCTGTCTGCAAATGTATATTGATACTGTAAATGCACACAAATTCATAGCAACCCCTCTTAGCCACTCAAATATAACTGTAAGATGGATTTTCCTTAATGGAAATCAGATACAAACTCCAGAGAACTCCAATGTCCACTCAGGTTGCGTTCGTCCATCACATCCAACTGTGAAACAGATTCATGTAACAGGTCCCAAGACCCTTTTGTCATTAAAGATCCATTGGTGGTGAAAATAGGGAAGTAAGACAGGAAAAACAAACATGCAGGAATGCAAATTAGTAGTTTAAAAGAAAAGGACTCAACTTTCTAAACAGAATTTAAAATTTTCAAATACACCCAGGCTATGTGTTTGTGCAAAGGTGAAGAATGTTAGACGCACTTGTGACATATTTACAAAATGAATTATTGTTCTCCAAGACTGGTTAATGTTTGCTACCTCCTTCATCCGACCGTCTGGTTACCTCACTGCAGCATGAAAAGCTAGGGTAAATCTCGGATATTTCTGATTTGTCATCTCCCAGACCTGTACCAAAAGTACTGCTCGAGTGAGATCGAGAACGGTGTCTCCTATAGTGATTCGCCTTCTCTATATTGGAGGGAAAATTTTCAGATTTGTGATTAAGTGACTTGAAGAACCAAAAAAAAAAAAAAAAGAAGAGAAAAATTACTTAAAAGTTTAACAAGGAAGAAAAACAGTTTCTTACTAAATAAAAATCCCAAAGCTCAACTATTATAAGCTCTAGTCACCTACTACCAAAGTCAGCATACATTGCTGAACAATGGTTTATACTCATTGTAAGTCTAGATTTTAAAGGAGAAATGGGGGATGGGAAATGGACAAGAACTAAGAAAACACTGGCAAACTAAAATATTTCTATCAAACATAACGTCTGGTTAGATATAATTGCTTTCAAGAATCCCCAAGCATACAGCATTTGTTGCCTTTTCTTTATCTTCCAAAAATTTAATGACAATTTGGCTGATTATGTGGATCAAACTGACTACAAAAGTATTCGAGTTCCTACTTTGCCGTGGGCTTTCAATTTCATTAATGTCAGTAATTAAATGTAGAGTATAAATCAGGGGTTAGAGTCAGACCCAAACGATATGATACATCTATTTATATTGTTTAAAATAACTGCATAACTGTCAAAGCTTCAGTTTGTTAAACACTATCTGAAAGTCTGAAATGTCAAACCATGCTATCACTGTACCCGAACAACGAAACCATTCAGGTTTTGCTTTTAATTAGAAACATGCAGTCTAAATTAAAAGTCAAATAAACTTGCATATCTATACACTGTAAATTTTGCATTATACAAACACTCAGAGATACATTTTAAAGGTACCTAAAAGTCTATTTTATTTTAACACGTTCATGATGCTATATAGAAAACCTCCCTGCTGTTTTATATATAAATCTTAACATCTACCTTTAAAATGTTGGAACAGTGTTTTCCATGGAACAAACTTGTATGTCTCAGCACTTTAGTGCAGTCCAAATAACTGCATTTGAAAGCCCAGAAAACCTATAAAACCGCATTCACTAATGAAAAGCAGACATCAGGAATCTCTGGACACCTTTCTAAGTGAATCTAGAACAAACGAATCTAAGATACATTAAAAATCCCCTTTGGAAAGTTTGTTTTCATAAATGATTAATGGTATTTTAAAGCAGCAGAGCTTTTTTTTTTTTTTTTTTTGGTTTTTCAAATCCTCAACTTCAAAATTTACATCACACAATTGGTACCATGAGCTTCTACCACTTAGAGTAGCTTCACTCTCAGGACAAAACCACGTAAATGGGGAGGAACTCAAAATGTAAGCAGTACCAGAGAGCATATGGAGACTTCTAGACTGAATATTGTCTTCCAGGGGATCAAGGTCGAAGATGGAGCCAGGATCTGTACGCCAAACTTTGAGGTCTTTTACCAAAAAGAAGAAATCAACAAATAAAGAATGAATTTTAAAAAGTCAGCATCAGAGTCAAGTGCAAGTCTGGAAAAAGATGCATGTAATCAGCAAACCAGTAATAAGCAAACCCATTGCCCTGCAGACTTCAGAGGAGAACAAAGGGACAGTCACATTCACAAGGACTTAGCAAGAAAACTTTGTGAGCAAACTTCAGTTGCCTGGTTTATTCTTCACTGACCTTCCATCTGGAGCCTGTGACTCATCACCCAACACACCGGACAACTCCCCGCCTCCCTGAACCCCCAACACTCGTGCTCTCCACACGCTGAAGGAGGTACAATGTTTGATTTAAACTCCCGATCAAGGACACGTGAGTAATTCATAGGAAGTGACTGAGAGGTTTTTGTCTGAGAAAACAAAGAACAAAAACTTCTCTCCCCGAAATAAGTGTTTTGAAATGTAGGTAAGTGGCAAGCCCACCTTTCATTGGGAGCCCGTGAGTGCAAGCTAACCCACACAAGACACATTTATTGGAAAAGTGCAATAAAGCACAGCACCGAGCAAGGAACGGTGAGGGATGGAAAGATGAGCAAGGAGCAGTTTCCAGCTCTCAAGGGACCAGAGACGTGTTCACTCCCATACTTAGCAATCAGACCGAGCAAGCCAATTCACTCTCCTATCTGAGTTGGAGGCAAAATCCAAATACAGTAACTTCCAGGTTTACCCGTGTCTCCAACTAATGGTGCTCAGGTCCTAAAATGATCCGCACAGTGCAGTATTCACAACAGGAGAGTGAAAAATCTAGCTATGGACTGAAATGGAGCTTGAGTAAAAACAATTAATTAATGAGCTGGAAGTGGAGCTCTGAGTATCTGTAATTTGTATTATGTGCTGGGCACTACCGTCCATTACAACATAAGTCACTTATGCTTCATGCCATATTTAAGTAGGAACTATTACCATCCCCATTTTATAAATGGGGAAACTAAGGCAGAGAAAGATCAAGTTAGCCGGGCCATGGTTACACAATTAGTAAATAGCAGAGCCTCCAGCAAAAATCAAAGCAGCACAGATTGGCTTAGTCTGAACTGCTCAGGAAATCTCCAAACCTGCATTTCCCTGCCTGGCTCAGAAGTTCACTTATTGAATGTACTTCATTTTATGCCTTCAGAGGAAAGTCCTCAATGGAAAACAGTCTCCCCCAGTAAGAAGAAATGAAGCGACTTCCAGATTACCCAATAAGGGAATAATTTAGAGACATATATGAAGTTTTTAAAAAAAAATAATGATTTTTATCCCAAAGGTAGTGAGTACTTAATTCTGAGAGCTCAATTCTAGACAATCTCCCAGTTTCTAACAAGAATTTCACCATCATTCCTGGCCCCTGATCTAGGGCGGAGGACCCCAGTGTAGGCTGTGCACCGTCAGGGTCTCCACCCTCAAGGGATGAATCGGACCCTCTGCACTCATATCCCTTGTGAGATGTTAATCCAAAGCAATTGAAATTAACTCCATGTTACTTTCAATGAAAACATCTCAACCCATCCATCCAACTTACTGTGATCCTTTTACACGATCACCTTTGGAAGATGTGCAAGAGCTATCAATAGTGTGCAAATGTGTGTGGAATCCCTCTGTGGAAAGGATTTTCAGACTTACTAAATCATTCAAGGAACTTAGAGCCTCGACCTCAGTACCGTTGCTTTACATTAAGACATTACCCAGTCAGATACACACTTCCCTCACCCAGCCCACCTCTAAACGGCCTTTCACTAGTTCCAAAAAATAAACTCTTCCCTGTGAAGATTATGGATGAGCATGTGGAATGATTCCCAAAATTATTATCTGAGCTTTAGGATTGGACTAGCTACAAAAATACCGACAATAGTCATTTGGAAGTATGGGTCACTGATATGTATTGAAAAGTCAATAATTGTTTTTCTAGCCCTGCCTAGGACTCTGGGGTGATCACTGCTGTCTCGCCGCCATTCAATACTACGTTCCTAGGATGTCCCCAGACAGACGAGAGAAAGAACAGTGAAAAGTTTCCTTTGTCTCAGATTTATGGTGCTTGTAGACAGCTCCCGATTATCCCCATTCAGAGATAATATTCAAAAAAACATAAGCTATTCATATTATGGAATACCATCAGAATCTCTCTGGCACTTTTATTTGTGGTAAAAGGACCAAAATGGGATTATTTCTGTTATTTCTGTCCCCCATGTAGACAATGTCTGCAGTACAATGCATTGATCAAACACATAAGCGAAAGGAAAACAAAATAATTGTTCAACCTTTGTTATCACTCACGTCTGATATTTGGGCTGCTTCTTTGCTTAACAAGTAAGAACACTCTTAAGGCTAGAAAGTTATTAAAGACAGAGAAGGTCCAATAATAGAAAGGATTGGCACTGATAACCTGGCAAGTACCATGGATCCCATTCAACATGGCACCAGCAGTAGCACTTAAGCCTGTGGTTCATTTTCAGTTGGGCACCACATCAAACATTTGAGGAGGAGTCTAGTGAATAAGGAGGCCGATTCAAAAGCTAGGCCAAGGACAATCTTTTTGACTGTGTGGGCCTGCAGAGAAAGACCATCAGCTTACCGACAATGATTCCAGGTCTCCTGTCCATCTCCACGATGTGAGGATGGACTCCTTTGTAGGCCGCATCGCTGACCACTTGGGTGTTCTTCCTCACTCGCTCTGTCACGGGGTCATCTACAACAGGAGTAAAGCCCCTTCCCTTTGTCTTTTCAAAATCTTCATGATATTTTACCTGAAAAAAGGAAAAACAACATTAACTCAAACTGGAATTTCCTGATTATTACATACCTCACAAAATTTTGATATGGCAACTGCATCTAGATCATTTTCCACATATATGTTTCTAGAATCAACTGCATCTAGATTCAACTGCACCTAGATTATTTTCCACATATATGTATCTTTTTCAATTACTCCAAAAATAGTGTCTGAAATGTCAGCTTCCTAGCATCAGAAATCAAGCACTGATATTTTCACAATGTTTTTCATCATTATGGTTAGCAGCTCTTTTATATATAAACCAGTGTAGTATATCAGGGAGAAGGTTTAAAAGATATATATATATTTTTTTTAATCCTGGTGATTCCCTAAAATGTACTAACTTAGGTACCAATTAATTTTCTATCTTTGAACCTTTAATAGGTATTAAAATGATATGTTATTTCCACACAATTATCCAAGAAAACAGTATTATTTAAAATTAGATTGAGAGTTACAAATAATTATATATATAATTTTTGTATATTATTACAAAAATGGACATATATACTTAAAACATACACTTTTTCATGTTCTGATACTGGATCTGTAAATTTTACTATAGACCACTGAATTGTACATTTTAAATGAGTAAACCTTATCACATATAAATTGTATCTCATGAAACTGCTTTAAAAAACATACACATTTTTTATATTCTTTGCAACATGTAAACATACCAAACTCTGTCTTAAAATTAATTGAAAAGAAGTCCAAGCAAATGTTTTTCATAAAATGCATTTATAGTAGTCATGTTAGAAATAAAAACACACCCAAAATATCACTGAGAAAAATTACTTTATTAGACTAAATATGTCCATTACATTTCAGTGTGATTAGAAAGTCCCCCCAAAAGGATGGGCCCATCCACATTTTGTTTTGCATTCATGCTTTGTTAGTTATCCAGATTAATGGTGAACGACGCCGTCAGTACACTTGGTGGGGCCATTCCTTAGTATGTTTTAGTCATGAGAAGAAGGAGCTGGTTGTACCCTACCATTGAAATATGATTTTGTGCTTCTTTGACATATCTCAGACCAGGTGTATCTAAAATCAGACTTGGTCTACCTTTCATCTGTTTATGGTCCTGGGTATATTTTACCTGCAAAGTAAATAGTAGAATGTACTTAACAATAAGACAATTATAAGAAAAAATATTATGTAACTTTCAAACTTTCCAAATGAGTGAAGCACATCCAAAATATTCATAAATTCTTTCCCCGCGAAGTTGTTCAGTGAATTACCTATCATTCTAGGGTAACAATCTAAAATTTTACTCTCAAAGTTCACCTTGAAAAGCTACAGCACAGACTGTCTTTGAGAACAGATGTGTGAATGACCAAGATCCACTAACAATGTAGTCAGGAAAAGTGGTTATCACACTTAAATTAAACAGGAAAAATCCAAACCAAATGAAGGCTAAATGTATTTTCCTGTTTCTAGGATTTCCCCATTTTCCACCGTAACACTGTTGAAGAATGCATACCAAGCCCAAGCATCCCTCTATTTCCTTCTCTTTTTTTTCCCGCTGTAGAGGATAAGAAGCAAGGAGTATCAAATCGAATTTCCTTGTAAGCAGCCACAGCTTAAAGGTAGTTTATGTCAAATACAGTCAGCATCTCTGGGCAGAAATGACACTGGAAAGCTATAAACTGTTAAACCTAAATGCTGATTCCCAGGCATAAGAAAGTTCTTCTTGACGGCTGACCAGCAGAACACTGCTGTTTATGAAGCTGGTTATGCATGACATCAGGATGGCCATTACTGAGGACCTGAGCACATATGTGCAATTTGGAACTAAAGCCCTGATACTTACTAAGAGAAAGTGTACTATCCAAATAAGACAATGAGGTGCACACGGGACTTTAATGAGTAACTGAATTCTATATTCGATGCAAAGATTTTTTTTCCTCTACATCTTACTCTGGAGTAATGAGTCATTTCTGATTTTGTTTTGCTGAGAACATTTGACAATCCACAGTCAGTGAAATACATCTGCAAAATGACATTTATTTAACTTACGCATCAAAGACTTTACCACTTTCAAAGACACTGGCTAAAATAACATGAATCACTGTTTAAATGAGCATGATATAGTTTAAAACTAAGCTTTGAATGTAACCATTGGTCACATCTGGAAATAGCAATGAAGGGTTGCAGGATAACATCAAGTTTTGCAGTGGAAGTCATCTGAAATAACACATGTACTTACTGCGTGTATCACAAATGTTGCTTGAAAATACATTTTATTTTCATAAGAAAAAAAAAAACAGGACTGAAATAAATAATAACGGATGCATCCTTTATAACAGACCAAAACGAATAAAACCACTTGCCGAACTAATATTTTCTTGGTTCTTCTTAACTCTTTCCATTTCAGGAGTTACACTTAAAGCTGTAGCTCTTCCCAGTTGACCTTTATAATAAACCTATCATTTCAGAGAATAAAAAATAAGAGGACTGTGAATCAATTCAACTAAATAGGAGTCTCACAGTAGCTATTTTAAAGAGCTGCCAACAGGTGGCTGGGTGGCTCAGTCCTTTAAGCATCTGCCTTCAGCTCAGGTCATGGTCCCAGGGTCCTGGGATTGAGCCCTGCATTGGGCTCCCTGCTCAGTGGGGAGCCTGCTTCTCCTTCTCCCTCTGCTACTCCCTCTGCTTCTGCTCTCTTGCTCTCTCTGTCAAATAAATAAATAAAATTTTAAAAAATAAAAATAAATAAATAAATAAAGAGCTAGCCAAGAAAAGGGAACTATGAAAAAAGAGAATGCTATCTAGAGGGCTAACCATACTTAAAATGCTTGCATTTTAAATCAATCTATTTTCATTCATCCCGTAGCATGAATCCCTGGGAGTGGAGTCACTGTGAATGTACTCAAATATATGGGCATACCATCAGTAAAGCTGTCAGAAGCATTGTATCACAAAGGAATAGGAGAAGAAATGTCTTCATGGATATTACTTAAAGGTACTCCTACCCATGTACTGCTACGGTTTGTCAGTAATTAACTGCAGCAGAACTTTTGAAAAGATGCCTAAATAGTGACCAATGTCAGCAGAACTTTTGAAAAGATGCCTAAATGGTGACCGACGTCATCCACAAACAGGCCAGCATGCTTCCCACTACTCTATTCTCCTTCTCAGTAACCATGTTCCTTTCTGAGATTAATGAAGTTATGTCAACCGTGATTCTACATATATCAGGAAAAGTTGAGCATCTACTTCTCCAAAACACAGTTGTGAGGCGAAGTGCCAAAAAATGGCCTGCCTTTGTCTTATACTCTGCTCGTAAGACTTTAAAGGTTTGAGGAATAAAAGATTTCTTTGAACCTAATAGATTTCCAGGTTTCCTCTTCCAGAGAACCCAATCTATATGTTAATGACTTCAAAAAAGGATTCTCTCAGTGAACTAGAGCCATGGATTACAGAAACAGAAGGGGATTAAGAATAGGCCAGGAGTTGGTGCCTGAGTAAAAACTGACAGCCCCCGTGGGTCCCATCCCATGTGATCTCTTCAGGCATGCACACTTTATAATTGCCCCCAAGACATTGTCCAAAAATAAAGCGACAGTAGCTGGGAGCGGGTGATGGCACAGGACAGGCTAATGAACAAGAACACATACTAGTAGGAAAGGCAGTAGGAAGGCTTATCTGAAGGGCCAAGATGCTAGAAGCTACCGCTGCATCCCTTAGGGGAACCACGGTAACTGGAAACATGCAGACAAGATGAGAGGGACACCCAGTGATGGATAGACAAAAATCGTGCTGGCGGTCACTAGGAATGCTAGAGCAGAGAATGCCTGGCTGTACCCACCACACCTCAGACCCTGCAACCTTTCAAGTCAACTGGCCGTCCATGGAGAGCAGAATTGTCAACACAAGGTTATGAAAATGTTATCAACACAATCCCTTCATTGACATGTTGATAATACATTTGCTTATCATAAGAAAAAAAGGCTACTAAGGTCACACATTGCTGATGTTCTTCTGGTTTTCCTTAGCTCTCTTCAGCTCTGGTGGATCAGAAATGGCCGTTGCCTGTTTAATTTCTCCTTTGTATTTTACCTGCGGAGGATAAGTGAGAATTTTAATAGAGGGTAGAACGGTCTCCCCCGACACACCGCAGAGGAGGAACCTCAAAATTGACCCTATCTTTACACGTTTTCCCCCACTGTAGTTAGGCAGCCACCTTTCAGTTCATATCTACACCTGGATCCTGATTCTTCTGACGTGACAAGCACAAAATGTCAGCTGTGCTTCTTTACAATGATTTTTCAATACATACTTTGCTGTCCAATACCGAAGCTAATTGCAAATTCCATAACTAAAAGCCATGGAAATATGAGAGAAACAAGGGAATGAAGTCACTCCAAGAGAACCATAGCAAGGTTACTGGGCAGCCCAGGGAAGGCCATTTACTCTCATTCTGACCTGAGGCTTTCAAAAGAAGCTAAAGACTCCTGGCTCCTACCACATTCCGGGGGTATTATAAGAATAAAGCAGCATTCAGCCTGATTTTTCTCCTCCACCTAGAAGAACTCACACTCAAATTTTAAAGCCTTTCAAAATTCCCTGTTGAGGAAGAAGAAAGCTATTATTTATTTTGGTAAAAGTTCCATGAAAGGGTCCAAAAAATGGGAAAAATAACTAGTAGGGGGCACCTCTGAAAGGGCTTTCTGAATTGAGGGAGGCCTGGGTTCAAATCCCAGGTCTGCCTTTCACACTATAGGTTCCTGGCATGTCCTCTGACCTCCCCAAGAATCAGTTTTCTGCACCTACAAACCAGAAAAATAAATTGTGCTGACCTCATGGCTTCATATAAAGCACTGAGCACAGGAGCCCTATCAGAGGTACCTCCTGATTGTTAACTCTCATTGCTTTATTAGCAATAGATTACTGATGATTGACTAATGTTTTCCATTTTATTTATAGGTTCCCTGCCCTGACCTTATGTGTTCGAACCCCAGCCAAGCCAAGTCTTCTTTTGTTCTATTCTAACAGATAATTTTTTTTTTCTCAAATTGACAACAGACCCACTTCTCTCCAGGTCCTTCCCTGAAAGTAGAGATTTACCTACTCAACTATGAGGTCCATGAGGATAGGAAACCAGCTCCCACTCATCTTTGTGTGCCAGTGGAATGCCTGGCAGATTGGGGTGCTTACTGAAGATTTCTTGAATAAACAACCATGGCTAAATTATAGCAAGACAGTCCCGCATTTCCTGGATCGCAGGAGAGAACCAAAGGGCATGCCCTTGAGCACGTGACCATGAAAAGGAGCATCCAGCCCATGGAGGGCTTAAGCTTTTCAGAGAGCACCGTGAAGAATAAAAATGCGTAACGCTTGCCAATAGAAGAGAACACAGAACCACTTGCCATACTCAGTTGCTCCTGGTTTCTCCTCACCCTCTCCATCTCCGGTGTGACGCTCACCGGCGTGGCTTTGTGGCACTGCTCTTTGTACTGGAGCTGCAAGACAAGGTGCAAGACAGTGTGGAGTTACGCAAAGGAGGTATGCACCCATCCTCCAGAACAGACTAAAAGGAATGCCACGCGGCTACAAAGTATCCATTAGTTAAAATCTTCATTAGGATTGCAAAGTGAACTATGTATCGCTAATAGACGTCTCCATTACACTCATCCCAGACTCCAAGGTCTTCTTGTCCACATGTTTTGAATGCCACCTTTTGGCCGTGCTCCTTCGAATTGTATTATGTAACGGTGGCCCGAGTTTGGTCATTATCAGTAATAAGAAATTACGCCTTCTGTGAATTCATTTCTTCATAGCACTAAAGCAACACTATCAAATTACTATTTTATACTTAACAATAAAAAGTGTACATTCTTATCATTAGCAAGGAGGGCTGCCCCAGTCCCATGCTTGCACCTTCGTGACAGACTGTCACTATGGAAACGCACCCTGAACCTCAAAGTTCCCCTTCTCTACAAAGTTCCCACAATGACAGGCCTGTCCTCTGACTAGCATTATGGAAATCTGCCTTACCTACTACATAAGAGGTTCTCTTTTTTGGCTGGGAGGATCAGACCCCAACATTTGTGGTCAGTTTTCCAGCAATTCCACGACACCCCAGGAAATAAATGAGCATCCAGCACAAAGAAACAGAATGGCACGTCCAACCAATGAATTTTTGACAGGCAAAAAGTAAAACTGGAGGTTAAAATCCTATGATGAGGAACTCCACAGCTTAATGATTTCCTGGAATTTAAATTTAGTGGAAGGGAATTTGTTTTTCTTGCGAGATATCACAAGACCTGAGGGGCCTGCAGATAAAATGGACTTGAGCTGCGCACCGTCAGCCGCGAACATGACAGTGAAGAGAAGTTTGATCAGCTGGGAAATAAATGACAAAGAGTCAGGCCCCCTCCGGGGGGCTGCTTTCCTCAGTGGGCACCTTTCTTTGTGCTGTGACATGTAGTTGAGAGTTTGGGCAGATTCTGTGTCCGGAATAATGAATGGTCTTAGTTAAAGTGAGAAAAGGTCCAGTGTAATCTCTACCGATGGCGGGATATGAGGAAAGATTACTCCGGGTAGAGCTGGGAGGGGGAAAAATCTGCTGACCGCATGACGGATGTGGAGAAACTGTTGGAGCCACTTGGCAGTGGATGTAAGTTTGGGGACGTAAAGCTGATATTGGCGACCTTCCTGTCTTGTTTTCATCCATTCACAAACATGTTAAGTGCTCTCCAAGCAAGATCTCACTTAATACCCTCATCCCTGTTTCATAGGTAAGGAAGTTCAGGCTGGGAGAGGTGGGTGGTTTGTAAAAGTTATACAGCAGGTAAGGGCTGGAGCTGAGATCCAGCCAGCAGACCCGGGTCCACATTCTTCCTGCAACTCCAGTATGGTCCCAGTTTCTACCGTGTGCCGTATGCCAGGCCGGCTATCAAGAGTGCTATGATTGCCAATATTAGCCTTTCATTAAATTAACTCACTATTATTTGCAAATAAAGTTATTTTAAGGAGGTGTTATGTTTCTCTGACACACTGAAAACTACTAACCTTTCTTTTAGAAAAAGGGACACATTAAAACAATTTAATCCCTAAACCAAGGCCTGCTCACGGGCGGAGCACCTGCCACTTATACGTGAACCACACTTTGGGAAACACTGGGGACTCCCGACTTGCTTCCTTAGGGCCCAAATTACAACTTCTCTCTGCACCATCAGGTTCTTGCCACCTTTTACCCCACGCACTCATCACACTAAACCTTCCCTTCCTTGACCGGGACTTGGACCCTGAACAGATTCGGTTTGCTCTGCCAGGAAGAAGCTTCCTCACAAAATCCACCCCAACTTTTATTAATCCTTCAAGATCTAACTCAAATGTTACTCTTCCTCCGAGGGTCTTTCTCTCTCTCTCACGGACATTGCCTTCTTTCTCTGCATTTCCACAGCACTTTGCAAAAGGCATCATTACTTATCATTAAAGGAGACACTGCATGTAATGTACTCCACAAGCATATAAACAGTCAGTAAATATTAATTATTGTGATAGCATTTCATGCATAATGGGTATTTATTCCCATGTCTGTTTCTCCTAGAGACCTGGAGAAGTCGCACTCAGCTTTGAATTTCCCCAGAATAAGAACAGAGCAGGCATTCAGTAACATGTCCTTTGATGGATAAATGCACACAGGAGGTGTCATGCTAGTTCAGCCTAAAGATGGGGGGATTCTTAGCCCCACCTTTTAGGAACTGGCCTCCTACAACAGTGTGCATCGTCCTGGGACTTCACCCGTAAAAGTACCACACCCTCATTGCCTACTGCCATTCAGTAGAATAGAAAATGGTACTCAAAGAAACATGATCACACATTGCTGATGTTCTTCTGGTTTTCTTTAGCTCTCTTTAGCTCTGGAGGATCGGAAATGGCCGTTGCCTGATTCATCTCTTCTTTGTATTTTACCTGCATTACGTATTTAAAAAACAAGGTGGTAAATGATTAAAAACAAAACAAACAAACAAAAGCAATGTGGGTTTTAATTCAACGAAAGGCTTAGAAGATAGGTAAGAATCCTGCATTCATAACTATTACACAGTTGATTTTTTAGACTCCAACAGTAATTTTCCTTCAGTGGGAACACAAATTTTTATTTTATGGGATGTTGCTTTCAGGATTCCTTTATCCTAAAGTGCAAATAAACTCATATCTATTCACCTAGCCATCACCATAGGAGTTATTTAATTAAAATAAGCAAATGTTGCTTATGAAAATAAATTTTATCATTAGGCAAAGACACAAAAAACCTTGGAAATCATCGTGATATAATAACTTATAAGTTTCTAGCCAAAAAGCAGTTTCTACTCATTAATGTGTGAGTTTAAATGTATCATGGATTTAAAGGCAAAGGCCAAACTGTGTTAGCTACAGAGTCTTGGGAAGACTGCTTGTCTGGGTGAGAGCACACAAATGATCCAGAATAAGGAAAAAAAAAAGTGGCCACAACCAAAGAAGAAAAAGAGGAAGGTGGAGGGAAATGTACAAAAAAGCAGAGGCCAAGGCCCCTGATCTCTAACGAAGGCCCCGTGGCAGGAAGTCAGGATCATGTTATACAAATCCAGCCTATATACTGGCACCCACTTTATTCAAAAGCTCTTCCTTCAAATCTATTTAGAGGAAGATCAACCAGACAAACATGGTAATGCCAGCACACGGTTATGCATGAGACAAGAAACAGCTCTTTAAACTTATGAAATGATTAGTAATGCCATAGGATCAGGTGGTATTTTAATATGTCTAAAATTCATGGAAGATTAGATCCAAGAAAAAGGATACACATAAATATTTATATGTAGCAAATGCAGGCAAGACCTAAGAGGCACGTGTTGAAATTTAGCAAAGACTTAAATCTACATAAACCAGGTTTTAGAAATCACTTGGTAATATTTAAATGATTAAGGCTGAAATCCACGCTGACAGTGACAAAGAAATGGTAACCTACCTATCTATGTCCTAGTAGCCTTAGATTTAATATGAGTAACAATGGCAATATGAGTCCAGATCCGAAACGGTTAAATTGACAATACACTGAGAAAGACCACCTCTAAATAAGATTCAAAAATAGTTCTTAACAGGGAAAGCTAATAGCTAAAAGGCTTGTACATCGGAGGTGGAAAATGTCGAGATCTTTAAATGTTAGAGAATCATATCTTGGTTTGACAGATCTGGCTAATCTTGAAAGGGCAACTTTCCATTTGAATACTAAGCAGGAATTCATGGCCCAACTGTATAGAGATACAGAACAACGCATTTATTGTTTGCTGGAAGAGGCAGTGGAACGCTGGAAAAAGAAATGATATACTATACTACTTTGCGTGACTTTCCTCGGGTGAGCAGCTAAACGTGATTAAAGATGAACATTTGTGTTTTTCATACGACTCTAAACTAATCAAAATGGCACAGTCATTTTACTGTAGGCAATGGAATTGCATACTACAGAACATTTATAACATTGTATTTCAGTACACTGATGGGTACATTTCAAATATGATCATTGGAAAGTGAAGGAAACATTTTATCCTTCTTTGCCAAACTAAGTTCCCCCGCCGGACCCCAGCATTGCTGGACACAGCATTGCTCTCGCCATAGTGGATCAGAACACATTTGCACACCCTAACCGTAACCTCCTTCTCCTCGTGCTTTCTTCAGGAGACAGTTTCATTCATGCTACAGAAATTTTATTACACTAGTAGTCTGCAGATTTTTTGAAGTATGCTTTACTGCAGCATTACCTTGCCTTTCCTACTCTTTCTCCACAAAAGCCCATGCACACTCCTATTCTAGAATGCCACATAACTATCCTGACAGATACATCTAACTGGAGATGTTCTACTTGAATTACTTAAAGGCTCTGCCTCCAAGAGTGAAGGTGAAGAGAAAGGTCAAGAAGGGGATTTCAGGAAAGAACCTTTATGACTTCCTCAAGAAGAAACTAAATACACTCCATATCCATGGAAGAATTCCTGTTGGTAAGGATAGCCAGTCTCCATTGTAAATGTCAAATACTGAATGGAAAAGTTTTTACCTATAACAGTAGGCGCCTCCTCTACCCTTCCCCCCTAAGCTCAAAGGGAGTTGGAGGGTAAGTTATATTACAAATTATAGTGAAGGTGCATGTTTTTCCTTTGCTGAAAGCTGGAAGAAGTAGAAAGCAAACAGGGCCTCTGAAACCATCCCTTCAGCCACCAAAGAGATGTACTAAGGGCCTTTAATCATTCTGCAGGGTAAAATTTCTTTCCTCCAACTTGTGGAGAGGTACTAAAATTTATCTTTTCTCTGAAAAAATTTAATACAGTTAAAGTTCTGTTCAAAACATGAAATCTAATCCTAGATTTCATTACTGGACTATTAAAGTGATCTATCTCTCGTGCACTATGATATATCAAGATAAAACACTGCTTTAGCTTCAAGGGGAACAAGGCTACAGTTTTCCTTCTGAAAGTGAGACTTTTGATACTTGATGAAATAGCATTTTAACAAAGTGAAGAATAAAAGAAAAAGCAACCAGTTTAGCAAAGAACTAAAAACATTTATCTAGTTTATGCTTGCTTTTGGAAAGGATAATTAATGCTATAGAGCACTTACTAGACTAATATTCTGCTGATTTTTCTTTGCTCGTTCAGTCTCTGGAGTATATTTTACTGCCGTGCCAGCTCCTACTTCTTCCTTATAAAATACCTTTATTATAAGAGAAGGAAAGAATAACTATAAGCTTATTGAAATTCAGGTCCTAGATCAGATTCTTATAAAAGAAAGACAATTTCTCAGGTTCTCAAGTAATGTGAATACAGCTTCTATTTATGAGTAACAGGTTATATCAATCAATTAAATAATCCATTATGAGAATAAATGTCCCATTTGAGTCTCACATCCCATAGCATCCCACCAGTAATGCCCGATACCTCTTCTAGGGCCTGTGTGGTAGCTGACGTGGCTGCAGATTATTTGGTCTAAGAATATAAGTGGGCAAACTAGAGTTTCCTTCTTCAAATACAAACACATATCACACGTGTGTTTGAGAAAAATCAAAGCACATATTAGAAAAGCTTACTAAGCAGTATCATTTAATTCAAAAATGGCATGAAATTTTAAGCAAGTGCTATTCTCCAAACACAAAGGTGCCCTCGTTCTCTTCAAAGAAAATTCTGGCTCCATCACCAATATCAAAAGTTTATTCAGTCTATTTCCCATCTCTTCTACATTAACCTTCCCACATGTCTCTCCACTCCTACCAACAATCCACCCCTTTCAAAGACAAAGCAAAACAAAGAAACAAAATGTTTTACCAAATGGTAGAATAATTATAAGAAAGGCATATGAGAACTATTCCCTCTGTTAAGATTTGGTAATTCAGTGGGCCCTAATGGGGGTTGGGAGAGTATGGCCTCAGAGATGTTTTCTTCCACAAGACAAAAATCTAGAACACCATGGAATCACAGGAGATAAGGGTGGAAACAGCTTTTTTCCCCGATCTTCCCTTCCAGTCAGACTTTTCCATTTCTTAGCACACCTGCTTTGAAGGCCCTAGAGGTACCTGACTAGCACACATTGAGGTTTAGAGTTTACCAATTTATTACAAAGTAGAAAATATTCTGAAAGTCCTCAGACTTAATAGAATTTATATTTTGATGAGACATTTACTTAACTACTAAGTGACTAATGAGCTAGTTCTACATAAAAATATTGGCTGTATGGTCAATTTTTATAATCTTAGAATTCAGATTTATATATCCATTAAACATAGACCCTATCCCTTAATTAATGGTTGCTGATACAATTCCCATTCCTCAAAATAAAAATATAAAAGTTTAGGAATCGGTTACAAGATAGTAAATCTCTAAATACATTATCATTGCAAATCAGTGACCAGGAAGGAAATCACATTATAGGATTATTCTCATCTCTGAAGTAAAATCTGTGTGGAAGATTAAGATCTCTTTCCTAATTAAAATTTTAAATTTCAGTTAAAAAGGACTCTTGCTTGTACCACAGAAGAAAATTTGAAATTGTAATTCCAAAACAATCATGATAAATTATACCTTGTAAGAACATTTGGTACTATTAAAGAGAAACAAAGTGCCCAAAATGGAGTCACTCATGTTAAGCCCCATCAAGACTTAATACCTAACCTAATTGCAGTTTCAGCCTCTCCCAAGAGTGGAATTTTAAACCAATCAGTCTGGAATTTCCTGATCAGCACTAGAGAGGTAATCTGCACGGTAGGCCCCCACCTTTTTCCCTAAGGGAACGTGACCCTGTCTGAAACAATCCTATCTTTTCTCTTGCTAATAACTTCCTTGTCCTGCCAGTTTCTGCCTATCAGAGGCTTATATTTTGTACATCTCTACTGATCATCCTCAAATTTGTTAGAGGGGATACTGCCTGATTCATGAATTATTGAATCAAGCCAATTAGATCTTTAAATTGACTGAATTTTGGTTCTTTAACAGAACTTACTATTTTTTAAAGAAGGAAAGATAATACATTTGACAGAAAAGTCAAACAATGCAACAAGCAATCAGACAATGAGGAAAAAGGCCCTCCTTCCAGAAACAAAATTTCCAGGTGGCCACTGAAAAGCAGTAATGGCTACTCACCGCACTAATGTTTTGTTGAGTTGTCTTGATTCTCTGAATTTCAGGAGTATCTGCCACAGAACTATAGTTAGAAAGCATCTTTTCTGCTTCGTCTTTATACTTTTTCTAAAAATAGAAACAGTTCATATGAATCTGAAACTGTGTGTGTGTGTGTGTGTGTGTGTGTGAGACAGACAGAAAATGATGCTGCTTCCAACTCTCCCATTCCACATGGCTCATATCATCATAAATTATATCTTATGATTCAAAGCAGTTGTTGATGTGACAGCAAAAATAAAGGGAATAAGCAAACAGAGTAAGCAAATAGCCCAGAAAAGCAAGCTTGCCTCTTCTCAGGCAATGGGTCCCACCCTAGTCCATTCAAAGGCCTCTGGAGGGCATGGCCTCTGTGCCACTCTAAGTTTAGAAACTTGTGATGTTGTAACTTGCAATAAGAAATTTATATTTGGTCTTTGTCCCTACTTCTGGCACAGAGTTCCTAAAACCCTCAGAATTTCCTGTGATGAGAGCGGAAAGAATATCTTTTGTTATGTTAATGAAGTGATTTTTGGACCACACTTAAGGATGGGACTGGTTGCCAGGGGAACCGAACAAGTGATTAAAGGGTTGGACTTCCAGTCCCAACCCCCAACATCTGGGGAGGGGAGAGGAGCTGGAGGCTGAATCAATCACCAATAGCCAATGAGTTGATCAATCATGTCTATGTAATGAAGCCTCCATAAAAACCCAAAAGGAAAGGGTTCAGAGAGCTTCCGGGTTGGTGAACCTAGGGAGATTTGGGGGAAATTGTGAAAGAACCCGGAGACGGCTTGGAAGCTCTGTGCCCTCTCCTCATACCTTGCCCTATGCCTCTCTTCCATCTGGCTGTTCCTGAGTTATATCCTTTTATAATAAACTGCCAATCTATTTAAGTTCTGTGAGCTGCTCTAGCAAATGAATCAGACCCACAGAGGGGGTCCTGGGAACCTCTGATCTATAGGCTGTTGGCCAAAAGCACAGGTGACAAACTGAGCTTGCAACTGGCATCTGAAGAGGGGAGGAGAAGCATCCCGTAGGACTGAGCCCCCTAACCTGTAGAACTTAGTGCCGGCTTCCAGTAGACAGTGCCTGAGTTGAGTTGAATTCTCCAATCCCTTGCTGATGTCTGAGAATTGCTCGTTGGTATGGGGAAGCCTCCACATACATGCGTTGGAATTGGTGACCAGAACCCAGAAGAAACCTACCCTTTCATGAGCAGCCCCAGCCCCTGTTCAAAGTAGTCCTGTAGCTCCTACAAGTAACCTGGCTCTCAATACCCACTATTTTTACACTTCTGAATTCATGCTTTGTTTCCTACTTCAGAAGAAGATACATTTGATAATGAAAAGATACTAGTATTTCTGTAGTTGAGATTAAAATCTCAATTTTCAAATGTATTACTATAAGCTCCAATACAATCTGGGCCATATCTTTGGCGAGTACCCACATTTACATAGTCGTAGGTATGGTTTGAAATACACATTAACTCATTGAATCAACCCCACAAGCAGATAGTATTACTATCCCCTCTTACAGATGGGGAAACTGAGACACTAGCTAAGAAGTGTCAGAGCTCGGATTTAACCCAGGCACTCTGGGTCCAAAGTCAGTGAAGTTAACCATTATGGCATACTGATGCTTGTTAGGAAAGTAATTATTGTTCGTGTTGAGACTCAACATGGCACCATTACAATCTCATAAGAATTCCATTGTATCCTATATAATTAAAATTCCTTGAAGTTAGATGTGTCCTTCTGTCGCACACAAACAAAGCAACACTGTGAAGTTAAGGCAGGAATGCTGACAATTCAGGCATCACTTCCTCTGGGAAGCCTTTACCTTTTGGGCGCATGTATCACGGTTTGTAATACTGTATTTGTGTGATTATTTGATTATTAAACTATTAGATTAGTTCCCCAAGGGCAAAACCATGTCTAATTTTGCATGCAAGTGGGTGCTCAGAAAGTATTTACTGAACTAATGAATGAGATTGGCATTTTTGAGACAGTAACTTTTCTCCACTGACTCGTATGACCATTTACCTATTTTATGTATTTATCAATAATTTCAGTCACTTGATATAGTTAGAGCCAACTTCTCCAAGTTCAGGTGGCACCATGAGATACTGAGGACAGATGAACATGCAGTTCAGGACCATCCCAACAGCTGGGTCATCTGAGGAGGCTGAGAAGCAGATAACCCCTTTGACATGTGACTCTGTCATCTGGATACACTGTTTTGAACTAGGAGATGTTCGGATACTGCTTATGTTTTAATGGGAATTTTAACAAATGTGGTCAGATTTTGTTGAAAATTATTTTCATCATAAATCCCATTAATCAAATGTAATTCCTTGGTCAATTTTCTATAACACTTTTAATTTTTTCATTCCCCTTTACTATTTTTTTTTCTGTTGGGATTCCTTCTTTTCCTTGTAAATTTTATAGCAAAGACAGTATTCACTAACGAATTTTTTGCCCAGGTCAGATTTTATCGATAACTTCTTCCGTTAAATATATTATTTTGTGGTTATATCCATATCCAACTTTTCTAGAGCTTTTTTTGTACAGGTCTTTCTAGAGGATGTGTGACCGGTCCACTTGGTAAATTAAATTTTACCAAGAAGACAGTTCTTCTCTTAATTTTTAGTTAATACTCAATTTCACCTTCCACCTTGTGCAGTTTTATTCACTGTTTGTTGGCGCTGATTATTTTAAGGATAATATTCATGATATTGAATCATGGGTTAAAAGACAAACTCATTTGTAATCTCTTTTCTGTAGGGTGAGCACTGGATTCAAGCGTGCACTAGAGTCAAAAACTAAAAATAAAAAAGATCACAGTGTCATTGGACTCAAACAGGAGAGATCAGACACTCAATAAACAGCCATTGAATTGACAGCAACTGTCCCTTTCATTAGTGAGATTAATCAAGTTTGACCAATAGCTCCTAGAATAGAGTGCACTGACTTTGAATACAGTGCCCTCCAAAAAATATCAGTCTTAGAGACACACGAAGCACATGGTGACTGGAGATCAGAAAACAGTATTCTGAGCATCTTCACTCCCTACCAACCTGGCTATAGAGCTCCGATGCCCTCTTGGCTTGCAGTATGTCCGGGATGTCCATGCTCACTTGCATTCCTTTCCCCTTAATTTCATTTTCCAAGTCTTTCTTGTATTCTTTCTAAAAGAACAGAAAATAATCTTCAGAGCTTTGCTTAGCCTCCCATAGCAATGCACATATGTATGTGTTTGACTCTCAAGGCCACGCGTGCAAAAACGCCATTTATACTTTTTCTAAACACAGTTCATCGTGTCTGTTGTAAACTTTGCATCCTGTGGGTTTCTCACCTGGCTGGCCATTTCCGATGCTTTCTTGGCTCTCTGGATATCAGGAGTGTCTGGACCCACCTGCATGCCCTTCCCTTTTATTTCAGTCTCCAGATCTCTCTTATAGCCTTTCTGGAGAAAATAAAACATGCAGTGAGGGCTCCACAAGAATGTGAAAAACTACTGACAACTGTGATGGCATTTTCACATCAGGATGGTGGTTTTGGACTCTCACTTCTCTTATTTCTACAAAACTAGGAAGAGTTTTAAAACTTGTGGGAGGAACATGGCTCGAAGTGACTTAGTCACAAGTCATCAGAAGGCTTCTATCTACTAGCCTGAATTAAGAAAGAAAACACAGTTAGCCAAGGGGGAAGTTTTTCTATTTCAGTACAATAAAATTGATCAGTTACTGGTTAACATATAACTCATTTGATGAATATCAGTAAAATGTCATTGTAAAACTGTCACTTTTTGCTCTGTAGTGAATGATTGTTGCTGGTTGTTTCCTTGGAATGCAACCACTCTCGCCCCCACCCCCAATAGCCTCTGATTTGCCACTGGGCAACTCACAGCTCCCCCATGCTAGACCATTCAGCTTGGGTGAGACTGGCCCAAGTCCGCAGGTCCTGTTGGGTTTACATAACCCATTATACCCCATCCCTGGCCCTTCCGGTTTTCATCAGGGATGAGTAGGATTCTTTTTCCACACAAGATATTAAGAAGCTTTCCCTCTCCTTCTAGACGTGGATGGAGAAGGAAGGAGCCCCAGGAGCTGCTAAGAGCCTCTTTGCAAATAGAAGAAAGCCTGCCTGAGAACTGAAGAGAGAAACTGAAACTCAAATCACATTGTCTGAGCCCCAGAGCAAGCCGAGCCTAGGGCTTCCTCTACTGTTTGGTTCTAAGAACAATAAATTATCTGCTTGTTTTGAGCAGCCTGAATTGAATTATGTGTTACGTACAAAACAGTCATAATTACCCAGACACAACATGTCTCTGAGACTCATCACATTTTAAAATTGATCATAAAAAATTGAGCAGGCTGTACACTTAAGTTGTATACTTTTCAGTGTGTATGTATTCTTCAATGAAAAATTTTATTACAAGATTAAAAAACTAATTGACTGTATCTAATTACATTTCTTCTAAAACAGTTATTTCCTCTTGTGTTGACATACTTTAGATGTGACATAATCTAGATTTGTAGATTCCCTGCAATGGTGTATATGTTGGCCTGCTTATTTGTGATATCCTAAATTTTAAAAGGTATAAACAAAGATCTCAGGCTCTGAGAAATATTATATTTTTTCCTATCTTCTACTCATAACTCTGCTTATTTTCACTGACTTAGAGTCTTAGTTTCACTTTCCTGAATACAGTTTAAGTAATAGCATTTAACTTTCAAAATCACAATACTCCATTATTACTATGTGTGTATAAAAAAAAAAAAATCTCTAGTAAGCCTCTTTAAGACCCCCAAACAAAGCACATCATTTGAAGGATAATGTATGCAGAAAGTGAGGCACTGATCATAGACAGCCACCAAGGTTCCTGGGTAGAAGTATGTCATTTAATTTTGCAATATGAATGTTGAAATCTAAAAGCGTCCTCAAGCACATAAATAGACTAGGTAGGACACTAGTTACATCATTTACATCCTAATGCATAATAAAACACCCTAAAACTTTGAAGGTTTAAAACAACATGATGGCACCTAGACTCCAAGAAGGCAAGCCCCAATACACAAGGGTTTTAGAGGCTCTGCGGGAGTCATGTTTGCTAATGTCCTATTGGCTAAAGAAAGTCACATGGTTAATTCCCTAGGTTCTGGAGGGTTTAACTATTGGGAGTGATTCATGCAACAGTATATACCACATTAATTTCTTTGAAAAGTTAAGCCTTGAACTATAGCAAAGTCCCAAAGTTTGGTTGAAATGAATGTGTGAGCCTATCAATTGGGCAAAATGGGACATGGCTAGGATTACATACAAATGAGAACTTTGGATTGCAAAGATAATAGCCTGGCCATAATTGTAATGTACATATAACCAGAGGGCAGCTGACTCCCCTAGGCCTTTCCTTCCCCTAGCTTCTCAGGAACTAGTATACAGTCCTAAGGTACAGAAATTGAAAGCAGCATATCGTTGAATAAAACAAATCCATACCATTCCAAGGAAAGACATGACATTCCAACGTTTCATGAAAGGAATACGTCTTAGAAGCCTGTTCTTAGGAAAAAGTGTGAAATGCAAAATTTATATTCTTTCCACATTGTTCTCTCCAGGGAAAGGATGCCTTCTTTTGGCTTCACCCCTCAGGATGATTCCGAAGGCTCTTCTCCAGCCTCAAATTCCTCACTCCCAACCCCCTTACTCCAAGCCAGTAACTTGAACTAACACTGCCCCCTCCTAATAATAAGAAATATTTTAGAGAATTATAAGTGTAATTTGATAGTTTCTGGGTGTTACTTGGAATCCCAAGGAGGCCACCATTAACTCTAAGAAATGAATAACCAGAAAGAACAACTGTGCAGAGACCAGGGGAAGGACTTTCAGGAAGACAACAAAGCTGTGCAGAGACTGGAAGTCTGTGAGGTTGGAGCACAATCATAATGAGCGAGGGAAGAGGGGAACAAGATGAGAATGGCAGGAGGGGGGCTCTAAATGCAGGAGCAAGGAGTGGGGCATTTATACTGGACATAACTGGAAACCATTGGAGAGTTCTAAGTAGTGAGAGTAACATAATTTAACTTAATTCTTCAAGGATGGTTCTGGCTTTTGGGTAAAGAACAGATATGAAGAGGACAATAATGGAAGCAGAATTCTGGTTAAAAGCCATTGCAGGGATCCAGGAGACAGACATGGTAGCTTGGACTAGAGTGGAGAGAAGTAAATGGATTTAGAAACCATTTTGGGGGCAGAGACAATAAAAGTTGCTGACAAGAGGAATCCAAGTGACTTCTGAGATCTTGCTGCTAACATTTGCTGAGAAGCGAGTGCAAAAGGAAAGCAGATCTGGGGGAAAATTAAGCATTCTGGTTTTATTGTATAATATTGAGATCCTGTTACTGCATTTTACATGTCATTTACATGTGGTAAAGCCTATGAGACATCAAAAGGTAAATGGTTGCAAATTCACGTCCATGTTATGAAACACTTATTTTTCTATAAGAATGAGGTAGAACTATATAAAGTAACATGGAATGGGGTCCATAATATTAAGTGAGAAAACCAAACACAGAACAAAATACAGGGTATTTAAGGATTTTTTAAGTCTATGTGTACATATGTGTTATGTTTATCTATGTGCACATAAGAATAGATCCAGAAGACTCTACAAATTTGCAACAATGGCTGTATTTCAGGAGAATGGAAGGAGGGTTCAAATGAAAGGCGCTTTTCAAGGGCCTGTTCAGCACGCACCCTCCCCAACTCTGCCATTTCTAAATAAAACCCCTGTTGGTCAAGACTCCTATGCCATCTCCAGATCCTCTGTCCAAACCAATTATAACCCTTCCATTCCCCTGGCCAGTCCCTAACCCTGGGGATGCAAACAGATCCCAACACGGCAACAACTCCCCAGGCAGTTTATCAGCTTCTTCTCGCCCTCCAGATTTCCTGGGGGGAGTCAGCCTGAGCCAGTTCTTCCTAACAGCAAAGGTCACATTACAGCTCTCACCATATCCCCACTGAAACACCCCCCAATCAGCCTTGAGGTAAATGGGCAGCACTCCTTAACCTGCACCCCAACATTCTCTTCACAAATGTTTCTCACAAAATCACCTCTTCCCAAATACTCTCTACTCCAGTGACACTCTTATATTCTCGAAAATACTGGAGGAGTTCAAGAGGCATGGAACTGGTTCTGGGGTATTTCCTTCAAAAAAATACACATATGGTTTGACTCTTACAATGTTGTTATTTGCTATCTGTCATTATCATAACATCGAAGCCAAAACTTCTAAATTAATATCCTGTCATTACATGCATTACATGAAGAGGAAAATATCAGATGAATGAACACGGTCATTCAGGATATAGAACGCTTCAATCCAAAATGTTAACCCGGCAGGAATTTCCGGCATGGTGATGAGATCAATGGGGTATTTTGAGAACGTGCAACCAAATCATACACAAATGGTTATCACTGGCATGTTAGATTCTCAATATGTGATTTTCAAGGTCTGTTCAGAAAGTTGGAAACACAGATTTACGGAACAGCATGTGACCTATCCTTAAAGAAAAGGTAGTATGAAAACATCTATTGTAGACCAGATGAATGTGAAATTTGTTGTATTACAAATAAGGTAAGAAAGGGTGTGTGTGTGTTTGTGTGTGTGTGTGTGTGTGTGTTCTATTAAAATGCATTCCCCCTAGTTTTCTTTGATATATTCAAAGGAAATGAGTAAAGCAGAAACCATACATTTTCAAACAAACATGCTGATTTGGACTGGTCTCCATTCCAAACTTTTAAACTAGTCACAAAGCTTTGGAGAACTCCATGTACTAATCAGGTTGTTAATATGATTTGTGAAGTTTCAAAATACAGGTTTTAAGGCGTCTGCACCATTCATTCAACTAACCTGACTAGCTATCTCTGAAGCTTTTTTAGCATGTTGTATTTCAAGGGTGTCAGTGCCAACTTGCATCCCCTTCCCTTTAATTTTTGACTCCAGGTCTTTCTTGTATTCTTTCTGTAAAAAAAAAAAAAAAAAAAGGCAACATTTTATAATATTCAGACACTCTGGGGACAAACCTGTATCTGTAATCAATGATACCAAAAAATTGCTGAACATACTTAAAAAAAGACACATTTTACATTGTACTATGAAATGTTCACCTAGAACTAAATTTTCTGGACTGCTTAGAACTGTATCACTATTCTCACTGAAGAAGGGTACATGAAGCTCTGGAGCTTTTTACTATACATGCTGAGAATCTTCACTGACAACCGTTTTGGGGGCTAGAGGATAGGGAGGCAGTTTTCAATGAGTTGATGCTGTAGAAAGAAGGCTGACTTGGAGGCCAGAGCACTCAATTGCTGTGTGACACTGGGAATGTTTAACATTTCCAGTCTACTCATCTGCAAAATGAGGGCAGGAATTCCTCCATGCAGGAGCCCTCTGAGGATCAATGAGACAGCGTATAACATAGTGCTCAGCACACAGTAGGTGTTCAATAACTGATAGCTTGTTTGGGGCTTTTACTCCTATACTCATAGGCTAAGGCTGATTTACTGTTGCCCCTGCCACATGCCATTCTGCTGTGTCCATACGGGACTCTGCCACTGAGAGTCTAAAATGATTTTCCCTAGTATCACCGATAAACGACTACAAGGTCAACCTCTGAATGTGGACTGCACATGTCACCATAACAGAAGAATCTGTACAGAATCACCAACTTAGGAATATGTGATGACAATATTAGCCAAAGACATCATAGTGGCTTTTAATGCTTTAATTTATTTAAAAAATATGGATATAGCCAAAGATGATTATAAGTTTTTTTTAAACACATAACAATTTTGAATCTTTTTAAAGATTTTGTATTTATTTGTTTGAGATAGAGAGAGAGAGCATGAGCAGGGGTCAGGCAGAGGGAGAAGCAGGCTTCCCACTGAGCAGGGAGCCCGATATGAGGCTTGATCCCAGGACCCCGGGATCGTGACCTGAGCTGAAGGCAGATGCTTAACGGACTGAGCCACCCCAGGCACCCCTTGAATTTTTTATACTTAGAATGCAATTAAATTACCAAAGAAATTAACTAAACAAATGAGTGACCGTGAGAACTACACCAGATCATCAGCACATTACACTCCTCTGGCCCCAGACACAATGATCAGGGTGGGAGTAGACACAGAATAGAAGCTGATCCAGTGAGACTCAATCCTAGAACCTCAACTGTTAACTATAGGAAACAGATGCTCACTTCCCACTGGGATTACTGGCACAGATAGGAATTATCCTACTGTTAGAAGGCGCCATCACTTGGAGATAGCCTCCCAAGGTTGAAGCAATAGAGAAGATAACAGAGCTGAGTGAAGAAGGAAGAGAGACTTCCTTTGAATTCCAACCTGAAGGAAACTTGACTTTGGACTTCTCTATTCAGAAGCCAAAATATTCCCTTTGTTCCTTCACCCAGTTTGAGTTGGGTTCCTATCATCTATCATCTGACTAATAGGGTCACCGCCATCACCATCACCTCAGCTTATGAACCTATGGGGACACAACTTTACATTTCTCATTGCTTAGTTCAGCTAGACTCTCCTCAAAGCACAGAGCCATTATCTGATACCAAAGGAATGACATAACACACAGATGAAAGGACTGAGAGCACCTCAGAGGCATTTCGTTCCTTTCCACAAGTGCCATGTAAAGTGAGCAACGATCACTCTCGCTTCATAAAGAACTTTATGTGGGCTCACTGAGCAGCCAAGGCAAGGGCTGGGGGCTCTGCTGGGTAGGGAGCAGGAGGGCAAGTGAACCTCGCTGCAGTAACTGACAGAGCTCGACAACACACGTTCCCAATCCTCTGCCTTTCACTTCCTTAAAAAATCAACTTGAATCTCCTACAATTATTCTGGTTTATTATATACATTTTTCTCTACACAGGGAAATGGTCAATTTTTCTCATACCACATGGAAAGCAGATGGTGAACATCTTTTTTATTTTATTTTATTTTTCTTTAATTTCTTGACTGGGAAATGACTACTAGGACATAGCTACTTATCATCATCTTGCACATTAAAGTTATGGAATGTATATAAATCTTTGAGAAAGATTTACAGACAAGGAAGTCAGCTGAAAATTCATACGTTCTTAGTTGCTAAAAATAGATACTCACCTCACTAGCCATTTCGGATGCACGTTTTGCTCTTTGAATATCAAGAACGTCTGAGTTAAGTTCCATTCCTTTGCCTTTTATTTCATTTTCCAAATCTTTCTTATATTCCTTCTATTAGACAAGAACATTACAGTTCAAAATTTCCTGGGACACCCTTTAACTGATATACCATGTCACATGCTTTCTAGAGACCACAGAAAGGAGAAAACATTTCTAGAGAGGAATGAATCAGACTCCTGAGTATTAATGCTCCTAATTTTTTACAGAGACTCCATTTTCTCTTTTACTCATGTTTAGCGTGGTTTCCAATTTTATCAGGATTTTCCCTTTCATCCTGTCTTCCAGTATATTTTGGTACCATATTGGTGCCATATTTTAAAAAGATGTCTTCCTTTTAAGTGGTGAGGAAGATCTTAGGAATGGATGCTTCTTATTAATTATTTGAAGTATTTCTTTGAAAGCTGTCTATAAAATATGAATCACCAAAAGATCATAGTTGAAAAAGAATTGAAAATTACAAAACCAAAAGGATTGATGTAACCAAAGTTTAAAAAAAATTCCACTTTATTCAGATTCATAAAACCAAGTAATTTCCTACAGATTGTTAATACATAGTTTGAATGTCATCTATTTTAATATTATATTTTAAGTAGATCCAAATGTCTCTGTTAATACTTGGGGTTTTCGTTCTGCTAATGAATTTCTTTTTTTTTTTCTTACTAAGTGCATTATGAAAACAATATATATCTTGATCCAATTCAACTGAGTTGCACTTATGACTAACTTGCCAGATAAAAGATGAGGCTTCCTTTAATAATAAGAAGTCATGTTCCAGTAAATTCTAGGGTTCATTTCATGTTATTTTCTCTTTGTCCATTATAATTAAATTAGCTACTGCTCTGCTTAACTAATAGCCTACAAGAAATTGTAATGACCTGAATGTAATTTTGGAAAGAGCTCTGGAGTCAAATGACCTGGATGAAAGTTGGAATTCCTTCACTTATTTGGTCATGGGACCTTCAAAAGACTTTAAGTAACTGAGCCTTGATTTCCACACGCACAGGCAAAATGAAAATAAAAATACTTATTCTACCAATGTCAAAGGGCAATTGGGGGGATCAAATGAAATGAAAGTATAAAACAATACTTTGAACATTCTGAATGGCAATATAAATGTAAAAACCATAACAAAGTAAAAACTGCAAAGACAATTTAAAGCTAAATGCGTATACTTAGAAAAGTTATAATTTCATTAAGTCACTGAGAGCTCCTTTTTTAAAATTGGACCTTTCTATAATGAATTAAAAGATGTTTAATCATAGTCTTATGAGCCCTTTATTCAAAATTTAAAAAAAACTAACTGCTATAAAACTATTTATAGAGCTTTTGAAGTACAAACACAAAATCAGAATATTTTTCAAGTTTTTCCAGAAACTCTAGGTGATTTATTCCTCCAACTTTAAATGGAAGTGTTAATGCACACTTTCCTGTTTTTAATGAAAATTAAAAACTCTGTTAATAAAGGTCAAAGTGAGAGAAAGAGGAATGGATTAACATCTCAAACAGTTAGCAGGGAATTTTGGAGTAAATATTTCCTGGGTCATTTCTTTAGTTTTCTTTCACAATATTTAATAGTAAATCACAAGATCCTACCTCTTTCAGAAGGTTGGTGATGTACTTTACATGTAAAAATTCTGGAGTCTTGTCTAAATCCAGTGATGACCTTCCTTTAATCTCCTTCTCAAAATCCTCTCTGTAAACTTTCTGTTAAATAAGACCACATAATTTGAAATTTAGAAAATATTCGTCACTATTGGAAAAGTATTAGAACAAGAGTTCCCAGAACAAAACTGAGGCTTGCCTTATATAATTCTACGACCTCAGAGTCTTCACAGCCACAAGAAAATCACTCCAACTTTACCATAAATTTTAGAATTCTACCAAACAAAAGCAGAATCATCAAGTACCAACTGCCTCTGAGAAAGCACCCGGAGTGAGGCTGCTTAACATCTTACTAACATTGTTTGACCCCAGCCCGATTGGAGAGGAAAGCCGGTAAAGTTGGTTGAGAATCACCGGACTGGTTCATTCTAAAGGGAGTGGATCCATCCACCAGAAGAAAATTTGGCTGCATGGAAAGCCATTCAAAGCACAGTAGACTAAATGTTGAGGTTCCCATCACCCCTTTCACTGTTAGCCTTTTGTGAATGTGGCAAAGACCATCTCTAAAATGTAATGGAGGCTGGAGCACATTTTCTTTTAATGATTTTGGCACTGAGACTATTTCTCTACCATCTGTGAATTAAGTTACACTGTGAGGAGTCTTATCTTCAATCCAATAAATTGTTCTCTAGGTAGGAGTTCACAGCAAGGAATGGAAAGGGGAGGCAGTGATTGTGGAGGGTGGACATTCATACCCCCACCTCCCCTTTGACATTCTCGGCCACCCTTTGGCTAAGATTCCCTCAATTCCAGCATTTGAACTATAGATTTGAAAACCAATGGCAACTCGCGCTTTAGGACTATAAAAACAGTCTCTCTAAATAACAAAGATCTCCATCCATGTAGAATATTTACCAGACACACAAAAGCCGATATTTTACCAACTAAGTATTTTATTCAAATTCCATCACAAAAACAATAAAAATAAATTCTGCATGAGACTGTTATTAATGCAAAACGAAAGGCCATTTCCAGGTTCATAATATACTTATTACAGAGATAGGTAATTGTTTAAAGAAATTCTCCCAAATCATGAGGGATGGTAAGAGAGGCTTATTGTTGCCTCTCCTACATTTATGTCACATACAACTATTTAACAAATGATCTGTGAAAAGCCACAAAAAAATTTAATTTAATTTAATTTAATTTAATTTTAAAAAGGTCACAATAGATGTCCTGGAAACACTAAAATTTACCAAACTGATTATTAAGAAGTTACATTGAGAACATTCTGAGTTAAAGGAACTAGAGATATTCCCAAAGAACACTGAGAAATCACCCTCTTCTTTATGTGGAACTAACTGAAATTATATGGTTATAAGGCTGAATCTAAGGCATTTCCAAGCCAAAAATGTCTTTTTAAAAGCAAAAATAAAAATTTGGGTATATTTATTTATTTCAGATAATTCACTTCAAGAAGCCCTTCTCCTATTAAAAACTTATTTTGCTGAAATAAGTCATTAAAGAAGGTTGATTATGACTGGAATTGGCCAATACATGACTGGGCGAAAAAAAAACAAAAAAACCTTTAGTATGCTTTTTATGAAACAGAAGACAAAGAACTTTCTTTTCAAAGCCAGATTTAGAGACTTCTTCTAGAAAACACACTGATTAAACCTATATCTGGCATTTGAAGAAAAGTGAGAGAGGCATAATTATAGGCTATCCCCGACATCATAAACACTTTAGCTTTACCCAGAGAAGGTTCAAGAAGCTCATTGTCAAGCTTACCTCGTAGGAATAAAAGCCATCTGTAAGCCAGACAGTTCTCTTTGTGTCCACTTCATTGGCCTATATTTAAAGGCATCTTTCACATCAACCCTGGTCTAACAAAGAGTTTTAGATATTTTATGTTTCTAGCCTTTGGAGCATAAATTTGGTCCAAGGATATTTTCTATTGAAAGATTTCTCTCTCCTCAAACTCTGCTGAGCAGAAATATAACTGCTGAGCTTAAAAGTCTTATAGCCAGTGGCAATAATTAAAGGGAAAACATGTCTCAGCCTCTGCAAAGGATAATTTCCCCCTAGCGACAATAATGGAAATCAGAATAGCAAAGATTGAAAGCCAGTATCAACAAAAGGCCCACATAGCCCCCGATGTAAGTGAATTCCATAGCATGTAATAAATGTATTACTAAAGCTGTTTGCACCTGATATCAAAACAGCCAATCAGAAGGAACTGATTTGGGGTGGGTTTTTTTTTTCCAGTTGTCAATATTTTATTTTCCTTTTGTACCATGTAGCCATAGCAATGGTAAAAGCAAAGGGCTAGTTATCAGACTTCCAAGATCGGCACAAGGAAACATGCCTACATAGAACAATAGCACTTTTTCAGTACAGAAGCTATCTTTAAAGTCCCTGTCATCTGTATAGTGAAATTTGCTCTTGGGGAATCTATCTCTTTTGAGGATCCACCCCCAATAGAAAAAAAAAAATCAACTGAGCATTTCATATAAAGAAAAACAACTTGGTCTACTTTGCCCATTGAGTCTCTGAGAAGCAGATTATCTATATATTTTGGGTTTGTTTGTTTTTTTAAATCCATCTGGTTTTTATGACTTTAAGTTAGGGGACGATTTGTTTTCTTCAATGAGTCCGTGTTTCTCAAAGTATGTTCGCGGGACCACCAACATCAGAAGCTCCTGGGATATTGTTAAAAACGATTCCCAGGCTCCACTGCCAGACTCATGAAGGACCTCCTGAGGCAGCAGCATGGGGATGTGCATTCCCAACACGCTTCCCTGAGACTTATCCACAGAGAGTTTGAGTACTATAGCCATGCGGAGAAAGAAGGAGAGGGAAAAGGGGGTCTTCAGAAGAGAAAATACAGAGTGGATCAAGGAAAGGAAAACAGGGGAACATTTCCCACTGTGAGTAAGACAAGAAGATGTAGCACAAACACCTAAATAATAATAGCCTGGGGCTGACAGGAAGAACACAGAAGGCCCACTCTGAAGGTGCTGGTCTTCTCCTTAAAGGACGAGGCATGACTATCAGTGAGAGCTGGGGGGCCAGGAGGAGAGTGACGTGAGAACTAACACAGGCCACAGGCTCTGGAGGCTCAACCCAGAGGTTGCCTTCCAGTAACAGCGCAGTACTTTACATACTATTCTCGAAACACAGAAAAGGTGATATGGACTGAATGTCTGTGCAACCCCAAAATCTATATGCGGAAACCCCAGCCCACCCTCAATGTGATGGATGCATTTGGAGGTGGGGCCTTTGGAAAGAGATTAGGACAGATGAGGTCATGAGGGTGGAGCCCTCATAATGGGGTGAATGCCCTCAAACACTTCAGGAGAGAACACGCTTCCCCTCTCTACTCTCCACCATGTGAAGACACAGCAAGAAGGCACCCTGAAGACGTTCTCACCAGAACCCTGACTTGCTGGCACCCTGATCTCGGACTTCCAGCCTCCAGAACTGTAAGATATAAATTTCTGTTGTTTAAGCCACCCAGTCTGTGGTACTTGATTAACAGCGGCCAAAACTGACTAAGACAAAGATAGTCCCGTAAAAGTTATCCCATTAAATGTAAGTTGTTGTCGGGCCTCTGAACTATGACTAAATTTACCTCTTTGCCAATTCAGTTAAAACAAACAGCTAATTTCATCAAAATATTCACCAATTTCTTGATCAAACTCCTCTCTATTGGCTTAAGAAGCTATGAGATATGAAAAATACAAGTAATTTTCTCCTTTCTTGCTTGAAGAAGAAATTAAACAACTTGGACAATTCAACAAGCCACTGTAATGTCTGAGTGCCCTTTCCCTGAGAAGATGAATTATTACACACAGCAGCATAGATAGCAACAAATAGCACATATGTTGTTTTCAAAATTCCTAGGACGGTTTCATTGTCCAGAAGTTATCATTTCTCTCTGTTTGGGTGTTGTTATGGGAGAACAGAAAAGATGGTGCCCACCGAGCACACCTGGCCTGGGGCCATAATCAGTTGATACTGCTGTCTGCTATTTCTGTCCCTCTGAAGTAATAACTTGGTGTACCCACAGAATCTGGATGTTGGCTGCAGAATAAACCTTCTGTGTCTGGTGTCTGGCCCCAAAAAATGTAGGGAAAAAAAGAACAGAAGAAATCTCACTAGGACAGAGCAAAACCATTTGAGGAATATCTGGATGTGATTCAGCATCATTTTAAGTAGAACACGAAGTGCATATACACAAAAAAATCTTAACTGCTCTCTTCTCTTGATATTTTAAAACTTCCATGTCACTGTTTGGAGAGGGTGGCGGGATATGGGGGCAATCAACTAAATAAGCGAACAGAGAAAGAATCACTCATGACTCGACCAGGTCCTAAATCATTGGCATTTACTGGATATGTGATTTGAGACAAGACAATTAATTTCAGTGGATGAATATCAATTTAGAGATATGCCCACCTAGCATCATTACCTTGAGGGGATTAAATGAGCTGACATATATAAAGCCTTTAGCAAACTGCTTAGCACAAAGTATTTAATAAATGTTAGCTCTACTGTCACTGAAAAATAAAAGGTAAATAAAGCAACCAGCCCTTCATTTTCTTTCTACGCATCATAGATTTACACAGACACAACCTGAAAGTGTCAATTTTATAATCATAGAATGTGAAAGGGCAGTTAAGAGCTCACATGGCCTGATATTGTATTTGCCAAATGAGAAAAACTAAGGGCCACAGAATCTCAATGACCCAGACAAGATGCCAGATCTAGAATGGGGATTCCCTCGTCTTCCTGGGCAGTGTGCTTTCCTCTAGACCCACTCAACATTCTGAATTATTTTACTAGTTCCTTTCAAATGATAAAACATCAAAAATGCATCAAACAGTTGATAACAGGGGAACCTGGTTGGCTCAGTTGGGAGAGCATGTGACTCTTGATCTCGAGGTCGTGAGTTAGAGCCCCAAATTGGGTGTAGATTACTTAAAAATAAATAAACTTAAAAAAAAAAACAGTTCATCACAAATCAAAAGGACTCACCTCACTCTGCATCTTCTGAGCCTCCTTTGAAGCTTGATATGAGGGTGTCTCAACAAATTCAAGCATTGATTTTCCCTTATTTTTCTCATACTCTTCTTTGTATTTAACCTTCATTGAAAAAAGTATAAAAAGCACATAACACTCATAAGCCCTTATGCAAATAGAGCAAAGTAAAATAAATATATCCAAAATTAATCATCCTAGTTTCTAACGTCATATTCTGGCCATTTGGGTTGGTCACTGGGTTCCCTGTGGTAAATAACATACACAAAAAGTAAACAGGCAATATATAAAAATATTTAAGGAATAAAAATAATTTATAACTACAAAATGTAGTTCTAGGACTTGGATGAAGTGTTTAAATACCTGGGATATATAGTTATATCTCATATTTGGGGTTAATATGTATACGCTCATGGTATACACATATATACATAGACACAGAGGCAGAGAAAGATAAAGATCCCTGTGATGGCTTCGAATGTCTATCAGTAAATCATGAACAAGGAGGAAAACATAGGTGTGATTCTCTGTTTTTCTATCAAAGGGAAGACAGCGTTCTCTGGGACTGCTGACTTCTTCCATAGACATTGGGTAACACAGAGAGCTTTTATGTGATTACTTTGTTTCACCCTGCATTATTTAATAATATAATATCATGAATTATTTATTTCAATTACAACCGATCTCCATCTTATTTTAGTTTATAAAATGATTGATATTTTCTATTTCCTAATAAGAGAAACTAGAATTATATGTAAGCTGTCAGAGTGATCAACTTTTCTTAGCAATATACCTTTTAAAATTAAATTCACAGAAAAGTTTTGATCATGATTCATTTCATTCAGAAATATATTTTCATTAAAATTCTTATGTGTAAATAATTTTTTGAAATTGTTTCTTAAATTATATAATAATAGCAGTTTTAATGATGATTAAATCCAAAAGGAGTTTTTCAATACTTAGAACTTTGTGGTAGCAGGAAATGTAACAGGTTTTTAAATTCCTATTTGTAGGCCTATTTTTGTTTCAGAGAAGTATGATAGAGTGATCAATGAAAGTGTTTGAAAAAAAAAAAGAAAGTGTTTGAAGTGTAGTAACATACTAGGATATGTAATAACATATGCCAGGATAAAACTTTGTGGGAAAAATTAAATAAAAATAAGAATACAAAGAGGAAAAAAAAGTACATTTCCAAACTTTAAGGGAGAGCCAATTTGTTTTTTTTAATGAAGGTGGTTATCAAATCATTAAGGAATTTATGTTCCACAGGATACATTTAATGGAGTGATGTAAAATTATATCTTAATAGATGCTGGAATGATATCTTTTGCAACTACTGAAACTCAGAATAAAAAAATGTATAGGTAACACCTCTAAAGTGTGCAGGGAAGATTTTTTTTTTAATTTCTTTCAGGGAATACATAGAATTTTATAGTTGAAAGAAACATTAATTAATGTAAGGTAATTTTTAATAACACTTCTAACTGATCTGAGAAATTCTAATAAATTTCGCACCTGGAAAATTAATTTCGCACCTCACGATAACAAATGAGTGCACTATAAAAACTGAAATCCTCATGAGATTTGGTCATCGTTTAATTAATTGATATATCATAAGTTTAAAATTGTGTGGAGTAACTTATTTTATGAAATGCTTTTACACTGAAACATGGTTCCAGCTTTCCCACCCCAGTCATATAGAGAGAGTGGAGTCTGAGATTTTCCAAAGCGATGTTCACTTTCTCAGGAGGTAAGTTCTATTCAGCAGCCGCACCTTCTCAGTGGAGGTGCATGGCAGTGAGTGGCTAAAGGGTCCAGACAGGAAGGGTGCACACCTGACTCTGGAGCGTGGCATTGCCTTTATGGTGCAGGTGTTCAGGAGCATCTGCGTCGAAATGATACATTCCTTTGTTTTCCTCAAAAAACTTTCTATACTCTCGCTAAAATAGAGAACATGAACATAATTCAGAATAAAAGAGCCCAATTAGAACACCCATTACTTAGGAATGCAAACTGAAAAATACAAGCCAACAACTGCAAAGCTATCAAGTCCCATTGCAGTGGGCTGCTCTCGTAGATTACAAACACTGAGGGAAATGGGCAATGCACCACAGACCAGCAGCTCTGGGTGGTCAGTGTGAGACACCCTAGAGAAGCAGGGGACAATTAGCTGTCAAAACAACGTAAAAGACGCTGGGGAGTGGCAACGGAAAAGCCAGTGATGGGACTAAAGTGAACAAGCAAGGTGGGCAAAATAAGAGCAATTTGTCCAGTCTTATCCTAGAACAAAAGGCGCCTCTGATAGCGCCTACAAGTAGAGAAGGAAAGAAAAGAAGAACAGAACAAAGGAAAGCTGGAGGCAGGAAAGGAAAGAAGTTGTGCGTGAGGGTTCAGCCTTGAGGAAGCTGACGGGTCACAAGGAAAATAAGAGAGTGAGAAAAAATTCAACTAATTTTCCTAAAAAGAGAGGGTAGGAGGTACCTGAAAGAGAAATGGAAGAGTCTGGGTATAGTTCGTTGAATTTTTAAGGTGAAGAAATTGGATTAAAACTATTATTTAGAGACATAGACAAAGTGGTGAATTTGGAAGAGATGCCAAATCTGGCAACCGTGGGACACCAAATACAACAGGCCACGATGAAACAAAAATTGCTTTGTAATTTCTTTCATTGGAGACTGGACACTTTGTTATTTCACCCTTTTTGGAAAAGACTTCTAGAGATAAATGGTAACTCTCAAAGACTCAAGGCTTCAGAGACTTCAGCTAAAGCTTGTTGCTCATTCAGCAGTGAGGATTTCAGGGAAAATGGCAATGTTGTAGGATGTAAGGAGAAGTAAGCCACATTTTGAAAGGGAGTGGGAAAGAGCTGGCCAGAACAGAGCTGACATTCGGGTTGCTGCTCCAGGGATCTGAGAGTGAACCAAGAAGAAGCCCAGAGCCAGGGATGGGAAGGATGGATGCACACGAAAACGGCTGTTCCATAGGGACACAGCATCAGTCCCCAGAGGCATTTCTGGGCGATTAGAGCACTAAGACGTGTGTCACCCAAAACTCTAGCCAGAATAAAGTGAGGGAGTAAAATGCCCCAGGAAGCTCATGAAAATGTTCCCATAGTACATCTGTCAAGAAGAGAACAAGCTCTAAATTTTGGCTCCTGTGCTAATTAGAAAAAACAAATAAATAATCTCAAAGAATAACAGTATACTTAGAGACTTGAGAATTTACTTAAAAGTTAGTTTATAATATGCAAATAAAATAATCATGAATTGAACATAACACAATAGAATATACTCCATACCAAGTTAAAATCCAGAACTAGTAAAGCCTAGGATATTATGTCTGCAATAACGGATATAGACTAAGGAAAGGTCAATAAATACTGTCCCCAATGATCTATTTTAGTGACAGAGAATTTCAGAAATTCTCATTTAAAAAACAAAAAACAAACAAAACGTGTTTGAAGAAAGATCTGCAAAAGAATTTTCAAGACCTGCTGCTCCTTATGTAATAGTCTCTGTTGCCTCCTAGTGGGAACGACACAGAGTACCATGCAATACATATTTTTCATTTATGCAAAGTTATAAAAGAAATCAAAAGCCACTAGAGCTCTATTTTCCAGAGGGAAGTGGTCCTTCAAAACTTTAATTAGTACAGCTGTTCAAACTCAAAAGGATTAATTTTACTCTACACACTATGTGTTAAAAAAAAATGGTGATTTATACCAAAGACATTTACAGGTCTTTAAAAAAACAGCCATTTATAACCAACTGACAACTAATTTTGACAGAATGTCTGTCTATTAAGCACTTTCTTATTCAATCTTTTGCTAAAATTAAGTTGCCTTTATAAATCAGCAAGATTCCAATTCTCCCCACATTAAAATTTAAAAGAGGGCAATTCTAATGTACAATAAATTTTAGCCAATGTATTAGCATACAACTTTAATAAACAGATATTCAGCGTAACATATTTGAGTCTTAAACTTTCTCTCCCATGAAGTAATTATTCAGTCACAATTTTTCTATGGAGGAAAAAAATCTATAATCTAGGCAAAAGCACCACCTGAACCAAGATTTAAACTTTTAAAATGGTATATACAATAAATGTAATATAGGACTTTGCTGAGTTTCTCTGCTGAAGCGGTGATAGGAACAATTTATATTAAGCTGTGATTTTTTTCAGCATATAAAACAAAGGTCAATATTCTTGAAGAAAATATTGCCTAGGAGTGGCATGTATTCTTCCAGCTACCAAATTTTTAAATTACCACCATGATATTTTTACTGTCTTATTTGTGCACAAATCCTCATGTCCTCAGGAAATTTAACTCAAGTATGGATGGAGAATAGTCAAGGGCAGATGCCACTCCGTGATCAAAATGGGATGGCAAAGACTAAAAGTGAAGAAAGCAGCAGGCTCTGAGAATAGAAATGTACCGACTTTTAGAAATATCCCTATGAATCATAGAGGAAAACGTGAATCTAAAAGGGCCACTCGAGGAGCAGAGAAATGTGTGCAGAAGTGGGAGGACGAGACTTGAAATGGCAGGAAGCATGAACGAAGTATGCCGGACCTGAGTCTAATTCTGTGCCTGAGAGTCCTCTATGCCTCCTTGCCAGCCCAACAGACAGCAAGAATGACAGACTGCTTTTCTTCCCGAGACCAGGGATAAAAGTCAGTTAATTAATTTTAAAATTTCTGCAAGTATGAATTATTTACACACGTAATCCATTTCAAGAAGGATGACATCGTTGGAGAAAGGAGGATTACAAAATAATGAACAGAATTTCCAACACATCAAAGCCAAAGGTAGACATTTTTAAACCTGAATTGAAGCTATATCTCATTATTCAATAGTTTGGGAATCAGGTCTGGACTACAGATTTTTTTTTTAATCCAGGACTGTGAGCATATCTCCTGAAGACAATTGTTTTCAGATTTCTTGCCCAACAGAATTTTCCATCTGATCGTACCTGGCCCAAAGCAGATATTCAATACATCTGCATAATTTTGATCGAGTGAGTGAGCCTGTAATTATTAAAATAGGTGCAGAAAAAACTCAAGGTCAAATTACAGTTCATCATCACCATGGGCCATTCTGAGATGTCGGCAATGGGGAACAGGTGAGCCGGGGTCATCATTTTGAGAACCGGCGAAGTCAGGGTCCACACGCACTAAGTGTTTGAAACAGCAGCTAGGAGGTGAGTTCTGATGGAACGACCACTTGGCAGTGTGCACAAATATTTTCACTGGGACATGAAAAAACCACTGGCTCCCCCTAATTGCTCTGAAGAAAATGTGGAAACCCTCACAAGATTAAAAGTAGAGTGTCAATGTAACGTAGGATTTATTTCCAGGGAAAATACAAATTAGACTAAGACAATTTTGTATGTTACCGGGGCCTGATATCAGCCACTCTGCTCTAACCTGCATAAAATAAAAGATTCTTGATTTAAGCCTGACCTTCAAGTGGCTTCAATCTAACTGGGAAGAAGAAAGACAGAAAGAACACTTGTCCATGCGCTTTGAAGCGTAGGTGTTCAACAAGAAAGTTTGCATTCAAGAGATGTTAAAGAGCTAGCAAGAACCCCCTTTGTAAAGCGACAGCTTTGGTGGGATTTAAGCAAGCAGGCCACTACTTTCCAATGAGTTAGTTATCCAGGGAGGCGTGGCGCCCTGGAAGGAAGCAGTTGTGCTTATGAGCACTGCAGGCATCCTGGCTCCGTGGAGACACACGGCATCTCTAGTTGCCCTCTAACAAACTTACTCGGCTGAGCATTTTGCTGGTTTTCAAAGCATGGTCTAAAAACAGGTTTGGGAGATCTGAGACTGGCTCGTGCATACTTTGAATGTCTTTCTTGTACTTCACCTATGAAAATAACATGGAACAAAATACCATCTAGGAGAAGAAAAGGTGCTTTTGTATTATCGCCATCATTATTTTTAATACATCATAAAGTACCTAAATTTAGTGGTAAATTAACAGGCGAATTTACAAGTAGCCACTAGATGGTGCTCATTTACTACTGAATGAGTAAAAAAGTTACTTCTGGGGACTTGAACATATTTTGATAATTGCTTTATTGTTTACATATTTAAAAAGGGTGGTGTTCACAGAATCAAGTAATTTTAATAGACATTCTGTTTTCAAAACAAAAAGATTAGCAACTTTATTCTTTAGAAATTACTACCGTATTTTAATTACGCTTTGGAGCAATTTCAGGGCTTTTGGTGTTTTTCATCCTGTTGCCTTATAGACCTTTTTCCTTTTTTACCAGCTCTTTTGAAAATATAATAATATTAGTACTCATCATATTAAAATATTAATAAAAAATATTTGATCACGTATTGCGTGCCAAACACTTTTCTAACCACTTTACATGTAGTACCTATTTAATCTTCACAACGACCCTAGTGGAGAGGTACTTTAAGTATCTCCATTTTACAGATATGTAAACTGAGGCACAGAAAGATGCAGGTATAGTATTAGGAGGTAGAACAGGATCCAAATCCAAGCAATCTGATTCTAAACCTCGTGCTTCCAAGCACTATGCTCTAGGTTCCTTTAAGTGTATTCCAAAACTATTTGCTTTACACTTTTACACACACACACACATAGGATAAAAACAAAAAAGAAAAGGAAACCATTCTGATATTCCCAATGATCCCAAAAGACCCATTTCAATTGTTGGTAACAAACACAAGTGAGTTAAGGAACACAAATAACAATACCTACTAAACATCAGTGAAAGTAAGATATGCTGAGTCCCAACCACCTGGCAGGAGTTAAAAGGTTTAAGTGATCCAACAAAGCAACAGTTCAACAGTTCTTCATCTTAATACATGTAAAGGTACTCCCTACGCCCTTCAACAATAGCAAAGTGGTCCATTTTTCCCTGTTTCTGTTTTTACATTCTACCTAATTCTAATAAAAATTTAAGGCATCTTTTCTTGTAAACTGAAACTTAATTATTTTTTTAAAACATAGGCCAAAACCAAATCCGTGAAGGAGTATTTCACAGCATTTACATAAGGGATAGGAAAGAAGCCATAAGCTGTTACAAGTGCAATTTCTGAAAATTTCTTTATTATAAACTACCATGTACTAGGTTGTACTTTACAGAAGCCCAATTTCCTGGGTATAATTACATGAGTTAACTATTGTCACAACCACTAATTTAAGATACTACACACTACTTTTTTTGCAAAACTCTGTAATCTATTTCTACTTTTGATCACATATAATAGTTTTATTAGCAATACTATTCCTACTTATTAACTAAATAGCAATCAGTAACCATTAATAGTAACTTACAATAATACATGTTTCTCAAAAGGCTTCAGGAAAATAATGCTTCAGTGTTTTCAATTAAAATTACTTGGAAACTACATGATCTTGATTAAGTATAAGTTATTGCAATATACTCGTATTCTGAAAAAACAAGAATCAAAAGATATTGAAAATAATTTTCTATGAATCATAAGTCATGAGGCACAAAGTAACTTACATCGCTCACCAGTGCGGTGGCAAGCTGACTTTGCCTAAAAGAAGCATTTTCAAGAGGATTGTAATGATGTTTCTTATCCTTCATTTCATTATCAAATTTTTCTTTGTATTTAATCTGCCATAAAAGAAAAAAAACCAGGGTAAATTAAATAGTACATTTATCTTTAAACTTTCAGAATGACACAGCTGATTTTTAATTAGATCAGATAAAAGCTACCTTAAAAACGAATGGTAGAAAAGTTTAAATTCGTGGTATTTTTCCTCTGGTAAAGCTTAATTAGGCATAAAAAATTTTTTTATGGAAAAACAACCTCTACTTGAACATTGATCATAAATGCAATTAGGCATGAACTCAAATCCTATTAACAAGAATTATACACTAATATCTCAGGATTTTTAAATGTCAGTTTCCATTTCTGCACTCTTATAACCTATGATGAATTAGAGATTGAGACCACAAATGAATGAAAGTCTATCACATTTAGAAAATGGAACCTGAGCCCCAGCATTTGAATATACATTTTCCTAAGGGAATTATTCCAAATACAGGACATGATTTGGACTACGGTTTTTTCTCATCATTTCCCATTTGTTCAAAAATTCATTTTTAGGGATTACATTTTCTGAAATGTCCTGGGTCTATTTAATGTCAATTTTTATTCCTCTGCTTCAGCTCTCCACAGTTGTATTCAGCAGCAAATTATCTGTAACATGCACTCTGAATTATTTTTTCTCCTTTTTAAAGTAGTCTTAGGGCAATCCAAGAAAGGATTATCCACTTATCCTACAGAACTATATAATTCTCTATGGATAGAGAAATATGTGAATGTAGGTTATGATAACTATCTGAAATATAGATACAAATTCTTTACCAAAAACAAAAACCAAAAAACTAGTTACTCGAATCTCACACCCCCTCGGATGCCTGTCTCCAGGAAGGGATGCACAGACCTCAAAAGCAGAACTATTTCGTTCTCTTGTCATAGTTTTACACTATTACAATTCTCATCATATTTTGTGTTCTTACAGGATTCTCATAATGCACCTTTATTCATACATCTTAAAGCCCTGCCTCGAAGTAATTTTTATTAAGAAGCAATTTGGGAATGGCTCACATTATCTATTTTAATCGAGTGTATATTGGGTGATGTCTTCCTCAAGGACACATGTCTGATACCTGTGGGAGGGAGATAGCTAGTGAAAATCTTGGGGGGAATACATTTGGGAAAGATTCCAACATGGTTTATAGGACATATTTTCTGTTGCGGTTCTTTTTTTTTAAGATTCTTTTTTTTTTTTTTTTTGACAGAGAGAGAGACAGCAAGAGAGGGAACACAAGCAGGGGGACTGGGAGAGGAAGAAGCAGGCTTCCTGCTGAGCAGGGAGCCCGATGTGGGGCTCGATCCCAGGACCCTGGGATCATGACCCAAGCCGAAGGCAGAGCCTTAACGACTGAGCCACCCAGGCGCCCCCTGTTGCAGTTCTAACTGCTAATAATAGCTTTCTGATTTTCACATTGCCTTACAAATTCAAGCAAAACCTCATTTATTCTAATTAGTTTGGGAAGGACTCTATAAAACAAGAAAAAAAATCTGATTTTGTAAAAAAATAACAAAACTATTTTATGTCTTGAAATCAGGAATATCACCAACGAAATAAATTTGGACCTCATTCACTACTTTCCACAGCCAAGGCTTTCCCTACCTGGTCCTCCCCTAAATACACAATTCCATTCCCTTTGTACTCTCCACATCCTTCTGCTAAAGGCACCCTTCGCCATATTTTAATCTGTGCTTTTGTCTCTCCAGGTTTTTAGTGCCTAAAGGGTATTTACTTGACAATGAGAGAAGACTCTCTTAACTGACTTCTACTTGAATGGCACTCTTGACTCAGCCAGATTGGCTAACACTCTCCACTTACTAAGTAAAACATTCTAACTGATGGCCTGGGTGTCCTGAACATGCTCAGCTGGTAGCTATTTACCCATCAACTGATCCAGCTATGCAATCTTGGCTTGCATCACGTTTTCCTTCAGTTATTCAAATTCTCCAACCCCAGCCACCACAAGTGTCTTAGTTACATATTAGCTAAGTGGCAAGAAATAGGTTATATCTTCTCTGAGAACCAAGAGCCTGTCCTACTGTCTGCACACAACACAGAGCGGGTAGAACTTGGAAATTAACCCGACACATTCCCACCTGCTCTGAAACCCGGCATTTGTTCTTCCCAAGTGAAGGTATGTTTTTGAAAAACCATCATCCATCCACATTGTGATGACTCATGCTACCTCACAGTAAGAACTCAACACAGGCTTGGTGTAATGAGTAGAGGAAAAAGGAGTCATCACAATGTGGGTGGATGATGGCTTTTCAGAAGTCCATGACGTAGGAGGAGTTCCTTCCTGAGGTTGGGAGTGTGACCAAGATCTACTCTGTCAAGACTGGAGTCAGTAATCTTTCCAACAGCAAATCTGACTGGATCACACTCACTTAGGCTCAGATGGTTAAGTGTCTGCCTTCAGCTCAGGTCATGATCCCGGGGTCCTGGGATCGAGTCCCGCATCAGGCTCCCTGCTCCTTGGGAGCCTGCTTCTCCCTCTGCCTCTCTCTCTCTCTCTCTCTCTCTCTCTGTCTCTCATGAATAAATAAATAAAATCTTTAAAAAAAAAAAAAAAAAGTGGTTTAAAGGTATGCCCAGCACTTCTACTCCCATTAGCTAGGAATATAAACTTGCTAAAAGTCAACTGAGTTTGTCCCTAACCCCGTTTATGCTAGCTGTATTTATCATAATCACATAATTTAATTTAACACAGCAAACACAAATTTACCGTAAAAAGAAAGTTATCCCTATGAAAACTACATTATTTCCATGAAAGACTTAAGGAGAGCAATTCCCTAAAAAAAACCTGCTATCAAATTAAGGGTAGTCAAGACAACCAGAAAAGTCAGGAGTGGGATGTAAATAATGTAGAAAGTTCTGGAACTCAGAGAGATTGGCAGTATGTCTTTGAGCAAAATGTCTTTCAAAAGGCAAATCATAGACCAATGCATTGTGATTATAGTTTGCAAGAAAAACAACACAAAACTCCAAACCACAGCTTCATTTGCAAAGAAAAAGACTTTCCACTACATCGAAAGTTTGGCAAATAAATGTACATACATGTGTTTTGTGTTAAACTAAAATGTTAAGGTACGTGTATGGTCTTTACACTTCCTCCTTCAACTACCTTCTGCATTTAAATGACTGAGTACAGGTCTGAATAAGATAAAAGGCTTCCACTACACATGTATTTATATATATATATATATATATACATATATATATATATGCGTATGTGTGTTTATACACCTGTGCCCACTAAGTCCCCATCTGTGAGCGAGGCCCTGGAGACATTCAGTAAGAAATAAATTTGATCACATCCAGGCATGACTGGTGATGGTTAAGCACAAACTCTGGAATGGTGAGCTGACTGCAACAACAGAGGGCAATGGGAGGCCATGGACTGTGTTTTGCGGCAGACCCTCTTCAAGTCTGGGGAACTGAGGGTATCTACATTACGGCTTGAAGAGAGTGTGCTTAGTGAGTGGAAGTGGGGAAAGGGATGAGTTGGGGGTGTCCTGATGGAGTGTGCCCAAGGGAACAGCATGTGGAAGGGCAGAGAGAGGCACGCACAGCATGGTAAAGGAATTTAAGAACACAAGGGTGGCAGAGGATGGAGATTACAGGAGAGACTGGAGAGCTGGAATGACCAGGCTCTACAGAGCCCTGTAGCTGTCACGGATCTTGGTCATCATCCAAAGGCCAGTATGAAGTCATTTTACACATGTCTGTGACTTGAGTAGATTTGCTATTGGAAGGATTTCTGACTCCAGTCTTGACAGAGTGTATCTTGCTCACACTCCCAACCTCGGGAAGGAAGGAACTCCTTCCTCATGGTAGGAACTCAACACAGGTTCAATGTAATGAGTAGAGGAAAAATGAGTCATCGCATTGTGGATGGATGATGGATTTTCAGAAACATACCTTCACTCGGGAAGAACAAATGCCGGGTTTCCTAGCAGGTGAGAATGTGTCGGGTTAATTTTCAACCTTCACCCCCTCCGTGTGCCCTCTGCCCCTCATGTAACTGTGCTGGCATGCAGAGAGTAGGAGGGGTTCTCTGTGCGACAGATGATATAACCTGTTTTTGCCACTTAGCTAATAGATAACTAGATGCTCATGGTGCCTGAGGTTGGAGAATATGAATAAAGGAAAACTTGATGCAAGTCAGCATTGCATAGCTGGATTTTGATTAGATTTTAAATAGTTCAATGCAAGCAGAACCCTGCATTTTTTTTCACCTGATGTTTTAAAAGATAAATTTATAGTAATACTACCCTGTTATTAAAGATGAGTTTTCCCTGGAAAGACTAGATTGGACTATTTTATAATTTGGGACAGATTTCAGTTATCTGTGTATGTCTGCTTTCCCGTTTGACAGTGAGCAAAGAATAGATCTTTATTCATTTTTTATCCCTAGTGCCTGGCATAATGCTCTGAATAGACTTGGCACTTACTCTATGTTTATTAAAGAAATATAAATTAATTATGAAAATGAGAGGCAAAAACTCTTATGACTCATAGAATGAGTCACACCCTGAGACAGGTGTTGGAACTATAATACTTCTCTAATTCTCCAAGTCCACACACACACATATATGCACACATGCATGCACATGCACACACACAATCACTGTTAAGTTGATTGGAATTCTATCCCATTAAAAAGAAAAAGAATGGAAAAGGAATTGGAAAACAATAGATTTTAAAATATTATAGTGAATCTGTATTGCACTTTCCAGTTCCTGCTGGACTTTTATTCATTCATTCATTCATTCATTCATTCCAGAAATATTTATGTAATGCATACTCTTTGTCAGTTACTGGGCTCAAGAGTGCTCTACTGAAGAGACTGAGGAATCAGCTGGTAAATGTGTTCAAATATTTGAAAAAATTTAAAAATGGCATTTGTTCTACTGCAGAAGGTAAAGTTAGTATTGACGGGCAGAAGTTTTAGCCAAAGAGATTTCTGCTGATTATAATGAAAAGAAGTTACATTTCGGTTACTACCTGTAG